TTTTTTTTTTTTTTTTTAAGGGGAAAGTGCACTTAATTGTACAGAAAGAGAGAAACTTTTATTGCACGCGCGAGATTTTAAATCAAGATAAAAAGGCACAAGTTTTATATTATGATTTATTTATTACGTTTTTTCTTTTTTTTTTTTTTTTTTTTTGTTTTTTAATAGGGAAACGTGTTATATATTGCCTGTGAGAGTCGTCTCTTCATTTGCACCTCCTCCAAGGCGGTGTAGAGTTCCTGGCTGTTTCTTCTCCTAAAATCCAAAGAAAAGAAATGTTAAAGATGTATATTTGTCTAGACATTGCATAAGTTGTTTTTACAATAACATTTTTAATTTTTTTTTAAGTTTTACAATAACATTTTTAATTTTTACCTTGATGAATCGGCAATGTCAAGTTCCACATATTCGTAAATACCGTTCAGCCTTTCTATACTTTTACGTCTTTGTTCGAGGGTGTTAAAAATATCCTAGAATGTGAATTTGGATCGTAAATCTCTTGCGCGATATATCGCGCGCATTAACGTCTTTTGTAATGATTGTTAGTCTGTTGAATAGTATTGAACGAAGAAATAAAGTGAGAAAAAAAAGACAGCTTCCATACCTCCGACGTTCGAGTGAAGCTCGGATCAGACAAATAAGTGTAAGATTCGTGATTGTGATCCTTAACCAACAACGGGGATGATGGTGGATCCTGCAGACTATTGTACACCTATAAAATACGCGAGTACGTGATTATCTGTCCGAGCACCGCTCCGTATACTTCGCGCAATATAATTTGCAGTATAGATTAATATTATTAACCCCAATAGACACATTTGTGAAAATATTGCACAAAAATGGCATCATGAGTGACGACGATTTCTTGCATTTCTTCATATGCAATCATATTTCTACATATTTGAAACATTACATAGTTGATTTTTTTTTCTCAATTATTGGACAATTTCTTTGTGAAATTAATTTTGCAAATATACCGCTAAGATGATTCGCCATATCGTTATTCTTTTGCCGAAATGGTATTTGGAAAGTAATTTTGCAAACAACTACAAATATTTCAGAAAAGATCAATATTTTTACATCTGTTTCCTAAAATATGTCTGTATAATTGCAAATTACAATTTTAGTGCAAGATTTTGTCACATAATTTTGTAAATGGTTTCCTATCAGGGAATCTAATTAGAAACAAAATCTATGTAACGCATAGGGAAATGAAAAAAAAAAAAAAAAACAAATTAATACTTCTTGCGCCGTTCTATGAGCCTCCAGATTTAATTCGGGACTATAAAGATCGGAACTCCGTCTCGAACCGTCCAAACCGGTCACGTCTGGATCAGTTTCCGCATAAATGTCTCGCATATCTTGCAGATATTCGGCGTCTTGTAAATGATCCTCGGTGCTGTTGTTCACAAACGGCGAGGTCGACGAGAACGGAAGCTGATGAATTTGCGTCGAAGAAAGCACCGAGCTGCGAAACGCAAAAAGAATATTAAAATCACGACTTTTTTGTTAATAAAAAATTGTATTTCGATGAATAATCTCACTTGTAAAATTCCGAGGCGTCTATGTAACTCTGCGAAGTGACCGATCTGAGAGCGCTGAAGATTCTCTCGCCGGTGGTTGGGCCGCTTTTGTTCGCGATCTCCTGAGGTGGATCTGGTGGCGCGGGTGGAGGCGGTACCGGACTCGAGGACGATTCGGCTTTCGTCTCGCCCGTGTCTTGAGTTAAATTTGTGAACAATATCGGTTCGTCACGACTTGAGCACGCTTGAAGCTCGTTCGTCGGTTCGTAGATGGGAAGATCGGGCAGACTTTGTATATACTGCGAGACACGTTGGAGACCCTGCGATTTTGACAGATCGCTGTGAAACATGTAGGGATCGATATCCGTCTCCTGATGACTGGCGCTCTTGAACGGCGTCATCTCGATGTTCTGCATATCATTGTTTTTATGACTGAGATTGCCGTTGAGCTCTTCGTTTTGAAGCATCTTGGATACGGTTTGCGGCCCGTATATCGATTCCATTATGATCTCATTGGTTGCGTTTGACGAGTTTATCGTGTTGAAGCCGTGTGATAAGCCGCGGGTGTCGTTACGCGCATACGATCGTGGAACGTGACTTTTTTGTACAATCTCGTAGCTGCCGTAACCCTTGTCAACGTTTTCGTTGCTCAGGTTGTCATGTCGATTGTCTACGGAAGGATTTATGCCGTACCTAAGTCGCGCCAAGTCTTTCGAAGAAGAATCGAATTGCCTACAAGTAAAATTAAAAGTGTCATCGATTGTTTAGTAAATATTTATTTGGATATTCTGTGCAATCTCTCGCACCTGATTGCGGATTTGGAATGATCTATGTGATTCTGACCGACGTAAGACGTCATCTGAATGTTTTCGGCTATCGTTTTGGCGGAACTGTCATCGAACATGAAAGCGGAACGTTCGATCGACAACTGGAAGGGATCGTGATTCTTTTCGGGCTCGTTCTGGAAGATAAACACGGAGGGGCCATGAGCTCTCGATCGTATCGATCCTCTTTGCATTGACGGCGGTGGCGTCAGCGGACCTGGACCTGCTTCATGCATCTTAAGATAGTCAGCGGTGCTCGGTGTCTGAAGTGGCGACGGCCTCGGTCGAGCGGTCGGTCGTGGTTGTGGAGCGGGTCGTAGCGGTTGAGGTGGTATTGCGTTTCCACCAAGAGGCGGGTGCAAGTCCCTGTCGACAGCTTCAAATCTGTGTGAAACAGAACGAGCGCTAATAATAAGCTGACACACACATCTTTTACACATAAGACACATATTTTCTTATATTATTACATTGTTATTTTTGAACTTAAAATTTTCTTTCATGTTTGCGACGTATATAAAATATTTTGAACAACATAAAAATGTTCATAAGATTTATTTCAAAAAATCGTCGCACACCTGGTAAAAGCGCCTTGTGCATCTAATCGTAAATCGCTATCACTATGCAAGAGGTGTTGAGAGTTCCCAGTCTGGCGATACAGGCCTGGTATTGTTTGGGCAGTTGGATGCTGTGCCTTTACCAATCCCACCTTTAATTATAACATTTACTCTTAAAAATACTCATCTAACATATGATAAAAAGAAACAACAAAGTGAAAAACAATTCTTCAACTTTTCGATGGAATCGAATTCAATTGGTTTAATGAAGCTTTAATAACAGAATTACTTTGTTATAGAACGAAAATTCAAGAAACGCATTTTGAAATTTATATTGTATATAGAAGATGTGTACCTTTTCTTCCCGTGGTGCCCAAAGCCAAGAAAGCCTCTGTCTCCATTCCTCGCAAACACTCCAAACATTCCTAGTACCAAATTGCCATCCGATGCAATATCTGTGGGATTGATATCATGCAGAAGCTAAGCGCTAATTAGGTCTATGTATCTCGAGTCACGAGAGTCTAGACGGCACGTTTTCACTAGGCGTCCGAATTTGGATTTTATATTAGTCCACGAAGATTGTACGAATGTTTTCAAGATAAACATTTATTGGACGTACAAAAAACTTTATATTTGGATGTTTTAAAAATGTCCATCTCGGGGGGTACTAAAGTTTGTAAAAATGCTTTTTAGAAAATAGTTATGAAGTGTTTCTGGCGATATATATACACGTTTTTTGTTTTAAACAATACCGTGCCGTCTGGAGAAGATTGTTTCCACAAGAGACTTCGATAAGACGATATTTCGTGATCACCTTCTGCAAAGAACAAGCGTGGCGCCGGCAGCAATGATGATAACCACTGCCACACCGAGCCCGGTGAGAGGCCAACCCATTTTTTGTTGTAATGTTAAATCCGATAAATTTTTAGGAAAATGCGAAACCTGAAACACAATACATATTCGAAAAATAATTAAAATCCATCGAATTCTTCGATAAACTGTTTTTTCAACTGATACGCAGATGTTATAATAAAATATTTGATTTTCAGCTTGTCCATAGAGTGTAAATAGAGAAAATTTTTCAGAGTTCAAACGAAAAATTAATCACTGAAACAAAGCCGTCTATGGCACAACGTCCCGTTTCTCAGCGATAGCGGTCAATTTCACCGTTCGCGAAAGGTTTAAATCGCGCGTACTTCTTTGTGTACAAATTATGCATTACTTTGAACTTGTCAGCACGAACTTTTAATGCAGCGTGTCGTGCAAACGAGCCGACTTAAAAAATTGATCCGCGGTCTCGCCGCGTTACTTCAAAAAATACCGATATACATATCGGTCGTAATATCAACATGCGCAAGGCAATGTAAGTGCCGCAATATCACCGCAAGATCGTTGCAATTATTATTAACGTATAACGGAAAGAATACATTCTTTTGGTTAACGCTAATTTATGTGTGTGTATTTATTATCTCACTCGCACGCAGACATTTATGTAACTTCTCGTGTTTCTTTACGTCTTAAATTCATCGTCGAGAAAACACGCAACGTGAATACAGGTCTGTTCTCATAAGAAAGTGCACGGCCTTAATTTTCATTCACGTGTGCACATATGTAAGCACGACGTGCAGCTTTCTTCGCGCTAAAGCTTTCATTGCCGAGGTGTCCCGACTGTTCATTTAATTACCTTAAAAGCTGGGTGGAGACACATGAAAGGAAATCAGCCACCTTCTGGCACACATTACTAGTGATACACCCATATAGTTGCATCTACGCTCGCAGTGGTTGCATCAGGAAATTTTCGTGGTTCAATGATCTCGTTTCAGAGGCAATAATAATATTGAGAAGTTCTTCTATATTTTGTATCAATGACGACGAATGTGTGTGTGTGTGGTTTTATCGTGTCATATCGTTTCAACATAATCCAAAATGATGTATACGTGATACAACGTTCTCATATCCCATCAGATTTACAAGGAAATCTCGCAATTTTGGAAATGATGATTGTACGAGGGGCGATTGATCTATTTTAGATTATTTAAGTGATCCATTTTAGATTTCCCAAATCAACTTGAAGACAAGCCGGTAGATAGTTTCCTCTCTTTATGATTACTTATTTCTTTTATTTATTTATTTTTTAATACACCACACACATTTGTTATAATGAGAGGACATATGTCAAAAACGAACTTATCACCATTGATATGATTGTCAACATTTGTTTTGCGGACCTAATCTTTATTTTTATTCTATATTATTTATTATTTGTTATTTGTATTATTATTTTCTATTGTAATTTGCGCTTTAAAATTATATTACGACTGAAGAAGTCTCAAGTTAGGGACGAAACGTTTCGTTTTTGCTTTTATATGTAAATGAGTTATTCTTAATATAATACTTTTCATCATGAATTTTCCTCGATTTGACCGTTTATTTATCTATCTTGTTTGTTCTTATTTCTTTTTATGCGTTGTGTGAGAGTGCACACAGTTACATAAATAAAATAAATATAAAATAAAGTTTTCAAATATGCGCGATAATATGCAAAATTCATCTGGATTTTATTAGTCTTATTATTGTTAGTAACGTCAAACACATGTTTACCGAAGATCAAGTTGTGACGATTGTGATGAATGTCACTGATGAATTATTTAGTATTCTAGTTCATGTATTACGCTTTAATAGTTCATCCGTTAAACGTAATTTGCATAACTGGCATATGATCGTGTTTTCATTGAATTTTTAACAGCGCAATTCGGAGTTTATACGAGACACAATAATGCGACTTGATAAAAAATCAATACACGTGTACGTATAGCATATTTGTCTAGTTTAAATTAAATAGGTAGAAATGTATGTGTGTGTGTGTATGTTAGAGGCAAAAAGCGCGCAATACGCTATGCTCTTTGACATTTTGACATGTTTCACATAGAGATTCCGTTTTACATGATTTTATTCGAAGATTGTCCGTTAAAACATTTGTAAAAATTCATACGTTTAAGTTACTACACTACGTGGATTTTTGAGCACTGATGTAACGATACAATAGGTTCGTCGATTTCCTTTGAAAGCAATGCGTGCTATTGCGCGCCGCTTCTCCGCTCGCAAAATTAAATAACTTATAATTCATTTAAAAGAGAGTGCATTTTAGCGTGCATTATATCACGCGACAAAATGCATCGTTTTTAAAATCGAAGAGAAAGAGAGAGAGAGAGAGAGAGAGAGAGAGAGAGAGAGAGAGAGCCGCACGTGACGAACAATATATGTGGGGGAAACTAGAAGCGCGAAAATATTAAACTCTTCATTTCACGCTGTTTAAATTTCGGTTTCGAAAAAAAAAACAACAAAAACTAGAAATGAAGAACCAAATTTCTGATATAACTACACGTTTTGATCGTGTTAACACTCCACATTATGCGAATGTGAAAAATACTCGAACGCACTTCAAGTTCACCGCTTGTTTATCACATCAGAGAAACAAGTGTCAGATTGCGAGCTCGCATCTGAATAATTGGTTGAAAGACAGTTTTTTAGGAAATCGAGTAAAAAGCGGATTTTTCTGCGTGACTTTTTTTTTTTTTTTTTATTGAAGATAGCTTTTTGGAGTAGAGTGCTCCAAACAGCGCGCAAGATACTCTCAGAACATGTTCGGGAAAAGCAGCGCAGTACGCAGGCGGCAGCTTTTTTTTTTTTTTGAAGTTGCGTTTTGTCGACTCCGGGAGGTATATGCGCGGCGCAAATGCAATTTGTTCGGTAATTTTATGACGGTACGTGCGCGCAGAGGAACGCGCTGCTCCGTGCCTACCCGAAGCTCAGTATGCGTCGGCGATGATGCGTTCCGTCGTCGAGAAAACTATGCGCTAAACGGGGTACCGTGTTCTTCGTTTCTTCCTCTCGATCTCTCCCACGAAACTTGCGAAATACAGAAGAAATTTTTTTGTCGTATAAAAAATTGCAAGCGCTCTGTATTCTTATTCGCAAAACTTTCTTTTTTTTTTTTTTTTTTTGCGAAAATAATTTAAGCTTTTCGCAAGCGCGAAAAACGTTATTGATTATACAGACGTATCGATGACACGTGAATCTCGCCGCAATGTTAATACACACGACACACGTCGTCTGCTGTATATATTTAGTTTGCGAGTAAAATTTCAACAATATAATGGAAAAGCAATATTACGTTACTACGCACTTTTATATACCCCGCTCTGCTCGCATATATATTACACGTGTCACATTCGGTTAATCCCCCACCATTGTTTGCCCGGCAAGCCGTCGATCGGCCGTTCTCACCGGACTGATTCCGTCCGTCTCTTTGTCACTTCGTTACATTTCATTTCGCCGTCCGGTATCGGCATGCGTTCCCTCGCTCAGTCCGACCAAAGAGAATCCAATCATTGTTTCACACTGTTTCAAATCCACCAACGGCCAAATGTATGTAAAACTATATATGCACATATATAGTTGCATCCATTTCTATCTAGCGCGCGTTGGTTGGTTTGCAGCGCTTCTCTTGACTCTGCATTGTCTGCGGATGGTTTTGCGCGACGAACCAAAAACAAAACGCGAAGAATTATCGGCAAGTTATATACCATTTCGTTTCGATGTCGTTCGTTTCGTTTCGAGGAACTCTGTCTTCTCTCTTCGCGTCGCGGTGCGTCCGTTGTGGCAACGTTTGCAAAAGAATTTTCATCTGCAGTTAACTTTCGAATCTGGAACAACTTCCGCACTTTCCGCAGAAAAGAGAAATTTTTATAGCTCTTTCTCTCTTACATTCAGTAAAAATATAGGCCGTTGCTTACTGGACCGAACGACTAAAAATCCGATATAGCGAAGGACAGACATTCGGGACATTTAAAATGCGGTTTTTCTCCGCTGCTTTTTGCAGAAAAACGTGTGTGTGTGTGTGTGTTTCACAATTGCGCGCTGCACAAAGCTAAGCGAAGCTAAAATGGATTGAAAACAGACACGCAACTATACGCGAACTGAAGCCAAACCGTAACTTCATGCTCTCTACGCAACGAAACCGCACGCAGTTAGTAGGAGATGAAACGGCATTATGTATCGCGTCAGGAAGAGAATTTTAGGATTGGCTGTAGCAGTGAGATAATGTCGTTCTCTTCCGCAGTGCGATCGCGCGCACACACACACACAGTGTGACTATACGTGTCTAATAATGCGACAGCTATCATTTCGCGTGAGCGAAAGACCGACCCAGAAATTCGAAATTCACACGATGCAAGTTCATTCTGATCGGAGTTTATCGAGACTTTTGTTTCTGTTCCGATTTTTTTTATCCGTCGGAATATTTAAAAAATCTTTGTTTCGAATTCGGATCGATTCGGAGCAGAACCGTCATCGCTTTCCGCTCCGTCATCGGCAATTGCAAAATAAGGAAAGAATTAGACGTTTGCAAAAACAAGAAATATATTCGCGAGAGAACGATATAGCCCCCCCCCTCCCGAGTAGAAAAGTTCCGTTTATCGCGAACGAACAATCGCGATTACGCGCATCTGTGTATCCGCGCGAACACCTGCTCTTCTTCTTCGGGAGAGAGAGAAAAAAAAAATCCAACCGCGTGTCTATATATTTTCCATCATCTTTTCTTTATCGTTGTTTCGAAACGACAGTCCCGTCTTGTCTTGCATCTTCGTGCCGTGTGATTCAATTGCCGGTAGACAATCGTGGCCCAAGCTTTAATAGCGAAGTCGCGGGCGGTTCGATATCGCTTATAGACGGCGAAGCTTAATCCCCCGCGTCTGTTATTGCTTTGCAGGTGCCGACTACCGGGGACTAGGCTGTAGCTGTTTTTTAAAGCGTCGTCCTCCTCGTCCAACCGTCGTCGTTTCCGATACCTGATTTTGCATCGCATTTACGTGGCACACGGCAGGACATCGCACAGTCGGATTTCGATGTCATGCCGTGTACGTTTCCGATAAGCGGTGCTACTTTCGAATCGATAAGCATGGAACAACTACAACGACGTTCGTGTGTGCGTGTATATGTGAGACTATACGTATCAAGAGAGTCCAAAATATCTCTCCTCGAATTAACGTACAAACAAAAAAATCTCGAATACAAATTTTTGATTCTCTTCCATCAGTTTCTCTCTTCTTCATTACACGTTTGAGATCGAATATTATCCAAAAAAAAAAAAAATGATTTTTCTTATCTTCTGTCGCGGTATCGTTTTTTTTTTCTCGCCCCGGATAATTTTCTCAAACGCACATGTACGGCACATACGATTCATTCAACTGATACGAAGTAAAGCGTTCTACATCTCAGAGAAGTCGATTACATCTTTTCTCTGACTTTTTAATATTATTTAGGTCACGCCCCGACAGCGGAGCTAGAGTACTCATGATGACGAGAGTATAGATTTTAAAGCACAAGAGTGACCCTCGAGCTCGAACATCCCCGTTGACGTGCTCGACAACAACATGTATGCACGAGGCAGATGTGCGAAATAAATAAAAAAAAAAAAAAAAAAAACACCATGCGATTTTAAAACACTAAAATACGATTTTGCAGTAAATTCACTGGCATTCGAAATCTAACGGATCTATGTGTGTGTGTGTGTGTGTGTGTGTGTGTGTGTGTATATACATATCGAGAACACGCTCTCTCTCTCTCTTGACGATAACTGCTTCGCATTGAAATTGGATATCGGGACGGGACTTGACACCAACGTGCTCGAAACATACGTAGCTCGTGCAAAACACAGCTCTTATAAACCAATGACCACGTAAACTATCGGCGACAAATGTTCGGTTTGAACAAGATTTCACAATTGTATGTGCGAAATTATTTTATTTGTCGTTACACCGTGAAAATACAAATTAGCTGAAAATCAGCTCTCTTTTTGTTTGAAAAAAGTGAAGTGGAAATTAATGAACTTTTTGTGTGTGTTGTGATTTCATTTAATTGGAATCGCGCGAATATAACTAAATCAGATTTACATATGTTAAATAGATATCGAGATTTTGCAGCGGGCTTTTGAAGTACAATTAAATCACATACACAAAATTATATTTAAAAGATGTTGCATTTTTTACTTCACGTGCTCGCAAGCTACTACTGTTGCACATTATCGTATAAATTTCTTATACACTTATCTATTTTCATTATCATATTAATTAAAGATAGATGCAACGTAACGTGTTAGAAAAAAAAATGGAGTAGGTGACAAGCTCTTGCTCTTTAATTTTTAATTATGAAAACAGGTCGTCAGACACAACTTATGGACTGATGAAAATTAATCTGGACAAATCGATTTACATATGTAAATGCAACACGCATTTAAAATTACTCGGTTCGTTCGTTAAACTAATATATATTCACAGCGGCTTGAAATTTGAAATATGAGGGTAGCCGGTAAGCAGAAGAGATGAGATAGACTGCATGGCGGTCATTCATTGTGAAAGAGAGCACACACACACACACACACACACACATACACACACACACACAATTAACCGGAAATTATGTGAAGACGACGACCGCACACGGAGTAATTGAGAAGCCGTAAAAATCGAAGGAATTTCCATTTCGTGCTGTACACACACACACACACACACACACCCTGGCGTCTTAGAATACGCGCACAATGGAAAGAGAAAACAGAAAATTCTTAACTGTTTAAAATACCAGAGCAATAAATTTGCGATAAAGAACCGATAGGCACACATTGAATGTGTAAAACGGAAAAAGAAAAAAAAAAGAAACCAATTTATTGCGTCATAATACATTGTACGCTCTAGTTACGAGATTTTCACACGTTTTTTTCTGTATAAAATATCGATCCCATCCACATTGAGAGAACGAGTATAAGCTCGACTATTGCGCGAGACGTGTGCTTATCTTTCGGCGTGGCATCCAAGTTTACTCGTCGTAAAGAGAGAGAAAAGATTTTGAAACGACGTCGTGATGGAAATAAACGGAAACCAGTGACAAAAGTCGACTCTGCGGTGTGCGCCAAAGCGCGCATGTGTTCATCTCGCGATAGATCATATTTAAATTATATTCAGTTCCGCATGCAGTTCCTCTCCGACTTCTTCGCTTATTCACGAGATAAATAGAAGATAAATAAATTCTATCTCTCTTGCTCTCATAAATACTCAATAAGTAAAGGGATAAATCTTGTTTTGAAGTTTCCCTCTCGTTAGAGGGGATTAATCGAGACTATCTGTCTCGATTAAGTTTTGCATTCTATTTATATATCCAATAAAGAAGAGCAACCTCGATTTAAGGTTGATTCAAGATGTTGATACAGATGATACTCAGACAAAATCATTCAATTTGCGTAGCACAGAGAATTTCTTTTGTCACGAGATGCGGATTTTGATTTCAAGTTTCTAGCCATACACTATGCATCATTGATAATACGACGTTCGCAACGTGCTCCTAAATGTTAAATATTGCGCCATTTTCAGTGTGTTTGCTTTTCATCGAAATTTATAAAATTGCATTTCTGACAGATTATTTTTATCGTCAGTTAAACCAGTAGATAGTATTACGAGTCATAAATATATATATATATATATATATATATATGTGTATACACATTCAACAACAACATGCGACAATCAAACAAAAGAATCTTCTTTCACTGCTGCGACAGCAGCGGAAAACGGGTCGCGTGGCCTTGTACCACACCACCGGACTTGTTAATTAACCGCCTTTATCATTAATCATCCGACACAGCGCGGAACAAGTGTAACAAGCGTGACCAGCGTGGAAGGAGAGGGTGGAGGTGAAAAGCAGACAGAAAAGCGGAGAGAAAGAAGAGAAAGAAAAGGGCGCGGGAGGGTGAAAAGGGGTAGGTATTCGTGGGCGGAAAAGTGTGGCGCAGTCAGCGAATCAGCAGAATACCGCACCTGATCAATTAAGCTGCTAATCGTGTCGAAATATCAGATCGCTATCGGCAGTATCATCCATCTGGCTGTTCTCCACTATCTTGCGTATCGAGAATCCAACTGCGTGTCTCGTTCGTCCTCCGGCATCGTCCTTGTCTCTCGCGCCCCTGGAGATTTCACGTCCCAAAAAAAAAAACACTAGGAAAACAAGAGAGCGAACGAGAGGAACAAACCAAGCGCGACGAGACCGGCCCGAGCTTCTGACGGGAAGCTGTCGAGATGATGGTACGGGCGCAAGTGCGGGCGCAACGACGGAAGAGCTCGCGCGACCTTCGTATCTCGCACGACTAAGGCCTGGTAAAGCGGGGCTCGTGCCTGCCACCCTTGCGTCTGCCACCCTTGCGTCTGCCAGCAAGCGCAGAATAGCGGCGCCACGAGCGCGCGGTTGAATATGAACTACCCTCTTTTAGATTCGAACTCGCGTAAGGGAAGAGAAATGAGAATTGTGCTGGCAATATGTATTAGGTGGCGCGCAAAGTGTGAAAAAAACTACTACTACTTTGTTCATTTACGCGCACTGTTAAATTTCATCGGGACATTTTTTTTTTTTTGGCGTCGTTTTTTTTTCTACTCCAGGTAAGTCTCCTAAAACTATCTCGCGTCTGTGCTTTGTAACTGTGATATATATATATATATAACATCTTTTTTCACTTTGATATTTAACGCGTGACATTATCACTCGTCTGTCAATAACGTCCTTCTGGGTTTCGCTCTTGTAATATTTTGAAAGACACGCTTTTCACACACATAATTACTTTCTGCTTTGCGTGTAAAATCACATAATTGCGTGAGAAGAAAAGTCGAACGTGTTAGCGCGCGTCTTAAAACACAATTTGCAAGCTGCTGTTGTTAGCAAATATTGCAAAACTGCACGCGGAAAATTTATCGATTTTTCGCTAAAGAGATAAATCCCTTTATCTTTCATACTTTTTATTCATCGCATGAGCAGCGAGCTGGTGGTGGTTTTCCTTTTTTTTTTGTATCTTTCTTTGTAGGGCAACCACCTGTAACTTCTTCGAGACGGACGTTCTGAGACTGCATGCACCGTCCTTGTCTAACTCAATCGGTGCGGTCTTTCGCGTCCTTATTTCCTTATCCTTCACGAGAATTGACAATGTCGCAGAGAAAACTAATGCTCGTCGATGCAAGAAACATCGATTCATAAGACACCAATCATATTTCAGTAACTTGTTAATTAATAAATGATTTTATTTATTGAGCTCAATCGCGCGCGTTAAAAATTTAATCTTTCTTCTTCTTCTCTACTCAAAAGTCATTTGTTACAAACAACTTTGCTTACTGTGATTTTTGAATTAAACAATGTAAATCGATATGTCTCTTATGCAGGTGATCCTCTTATTTCTATGCTTGATTCAAACATGACACGGAAAAACATTTTATTCTCTACAAGAAGTTTTTAAAACAAAAAATGTATAACATTTTATTTAAAAAACAAAAGAGACAAAAAAAAAACGAGAAATGCTTACATCAGCTATCAACGGTTGGATAATTAATTTAACGAACACAAGAGAAATGATTTTGTATTATTATCTACTTCAAAGTATAAAACTATCGTCCTTATCGATATCTGAAAAAATAGAAAGTATTATTTAAACATGTAGGAAAAAATATACATGATATGATGATATAAAAAAAGTTATTTAAAAAATGACTACGTACAATTAAAATTTATATTAATTATACATGTAATTGTATAAAATTCAAGAGAAGTCCCTTCGCATATTAAAAATTATAAATCGTTAAAAAATAAATTATGAATCTTTTTGCACTATTTTCGCATGTTTTATATAAATAAGATTGACCGACTTATAAGCCTTCTTATTAAAAACAAAGCATCGAGAGAATGATCACGTGTCATGTTTTAATCTTTTCTGACGGGCGTCTTATATGTTTCTTGTCGGATTTCCCATTCTCCTTTTCTGTTTTCTCTTTTATGTTTCTCATACACAAGTTTTCTCTCTTTTTCTCTGTATGTGTGTATGTAACAGACACACACACACACTTCGTTTTCTTTTATTCTCCTTTCACTTTAGCTGCTATTTTTTTGTGTCAATCTCAGATCTTCTCATTTCGACCTTGCCCCTGTTCCTTTTCGTTTCTATTTCATCTATTTCATCTTCTTTCTCCCCTTGTATACATTATTCCCATCCTTCTTCTTTCTTTCTATTTGGTTTTTTCTCTTTGTTTTTTGATATTCTTTGCTCACTCCCTCTGTTTCTCCTTTCCTCTCACTTCACTGTAATTCTCTCCAAGAGCATATCTGACTCACCCAGCGGGAGAGATATTTAGTCGGTGATGCGCCGTGAGAGCAGTAACAGCTGTGTGAGTCAAGTATTAATTTTTGAAAATAAACACACCGACAAGACGTGTAACTTGTTGATTTTTGCGATTCCATTTTTTATGATTTAAAAACAAACGTGTTCGTCATGAGACGAACGATCGAATTGCTTCTTATCGATTGCTCTTGATCTATCAATTATTGTTATCATAATTACAGAGAGAATTGATTAAATTGTGGTGAATCGAACGATAAATAATAATCAAAACACAATTTGATTGGGTTATCGATCGGTCAGATCGTATCGTCGGCATATCTACTGAAGACGGGACTTTATCGCTCTTTTCCACTGAAAATCCGTCTGACTGCAACGAGATTTCTTCTACTTATCATTTCTTTGGCGAGTTACTAGCAGATTTTCGACCTCACGATTTTCATCGTAAAGGTAGAAAATATTGTTATGACATTATTATTATATTTGTTATTTGTGTATATTCTATTTGTGCCACGTTTATTAGTTTTATAACGTTTTACTTTTGTTAACTTATTTTATTAAAATTAAACATTTTTATACATACTTTGTTTTCAACAATAATAGTATTTTAATAATAATATTTTAATAATAGTATATTTTATACTTTTACACATATAAAAAAGTATTCTCCTATATACTTTATTATCTTAAACAATGCTATGATCACGTAAATCATATGTAAACTAGTTTATCGTCAAGTTACGTAACGGTCGAAAATTATATCCGTTGTTATATATATACATTAAGATTTTTATGTTCCGCATTACTTTTTAATAACCATAACATTTTCTCACCAATTCAACGTAACGTTGGTTGAACGCGCTACGTAGAAGCGCGCTCATTATTATTCAAGAAGCGCCCTCTCACACCTACGTACTGTTGCTAAGGGTCTGGAGAATTCGCGTAAATCGATAAAAAAGACATTTCAATGAATATCTCTTTATATATTTTATCTCTTTTTCTATAATATATTTTAATATAACATATTACGCGTTATACAAAGTCGTTTTATGTTATAAAAAATACATTTCAGAATCATTTTAACGACTCAATGATGGAAAATTGTTTTTTTTTTCTTTTAATGAAATGTTTAACTTTTTTGCATATTAACTCGCACGTTTAATTTTGTTCGGAAAGTATCTCATAAAATGTGTCTGTGCGTATCCATCGTATGTTATTACATTACACATTTCAATTAAAAATAAAAAAAATTGCTATATTACATTCCAATTGTTTGTTTGTTTGTTTTTTGTTTGACGTTTGCTGCTATATAATGGGAAACTCTTCCAAGGTAAACGCGAAGCGGCAAATTTGCCTAATAAGATTCCAAAGAATCTTATCCGCAACTACCGGTAAAAAGTTTCATACATATTGATTTTATGAATACTTGACATAATCCGTGAAAAAATATGCATAGACCAGCGTGTATTCTACTCCTGCCTTGCTTGCTTTAATATATAACGCGACGAGAGAGAGAGAACGACGCAAAATTCTGAAACAGTATTCATGATCGTGTTATTAATGAGATTTGCGAAATTCTAGTGAGAGCAACACATTTGATCGGTATAGTTTGATACGATTATGTTTTCGCGCTTCCGTAGCAGTAAACTATAATGACATTACGATGTGATACGTTGAGTTTCAATTAAATGAACATATCATGTAACTTGTTAAAAGGCACATTTTACGGTTTGAAAATTTACTACAAATTGTTTTTATTGAATCTTTTCAACTATTTTTTTTAGAAACATCAACATTTAATTAATTTTGTTTTCAGACTGAAAATACAACGACTTTATTTTCTATATCGAATACTACCTGTTAAAAAATGGTGTCATCCGCAATATTCGGGGCGGCAGCTGGCATGGGATTAGCCTTAGTGGTAGCCATGACGATCGTGGTTTATCGATACTATGCCATGAAGCAACGTAGGAAATGGAATTGGAGTAATCTGGATCGTTGGCCGGATCCATCGGACATTGGGAGTGACCGCAACGATCATCTTCATCAGCAACGTCATTGCCACGCAGCGTCCTACGTATTTTACTACTGGAGGAAGCCACAAAAAAATTACTACGCCGTCCAGACTGGGGTTAGTAGTTAATCATCAGTTTGCCACTAATTGGTCACATAACTAATAACAATCATTCAGTAGAAATTTCTTTTATCGCATTAATACGAAAGAAGAATGATCATTTTTGTGACGATGCTATATCGTCGCGATAAAATTAATTTCTCGATATTACCGTTTCATTCTCGATCTCTCTCCAATTACGGCGATTTAAGCACTTTTAGTAAATATTCTATGACTATTATTATTGTTGTAATTGTTGTTACAATATTTATAGTATTGTGTGTAATTTTTTTTAATTTTATTTACTGCACGCAGTAATACACAGCTGTGCTGGGTAAATGTTGCCCTCGCGCTTGCCAGCAATATTGATCTATCGCTCTATATATCTATATAATATGTTTGTCATATATATATATATATATATATATATACATTTGTGTGCGTCGGTAATACGTCGGTAAACCATCCCCGCGGTTGGTTAAAAAGATCGCAATGAACTGTTAAAAAATCCAATTTTTTTATGATCGCAGCTGGATAACCATTATCGTGCCTACATCACGTGCCTTACGTCGAGATAATGTGCACAAAATGCGACGCATATAATCGTTTTGTCTCGATTTGCAAAAAATGCAAATTTTCAATTACGCAAAATTTAACACAGACGTAAATCTATATATATAATGTCAAAACTTCGCTGAATTATTTTTTGTTTTTCGGCTTGTTTGTTCTGTCGTTCAAGCTGTGAGAAAACAAAGTGATTAAAGAGAAAGAAGAGAACGTAATTTTAGACATATGCGAGAGTTTTGTCACATGTATATTTAAGTACACGAGTGAAACAAAACACTCTGGTTGTTATAAAATATGAATAATACTAAAAAAAAACGAGATAAGGAGAATGGATTAGTAAGCGCGCGCGCGCGCGTGCGTTTGTTATCTCGCTTATCTCGCGTATCTTCAAGTACCTACACACGCAGCTCCTGAAGAGCCTTCTATTCCATACAAGAACACACTCTGAACCTAGAATTTCGATCGATACAGCGCCTATAACTGCTGCGGCAGATATCAGGTTTACAGAGAAATTGTTCGCAATGTAGTGCGTCGCGATAAAAATAAATTTCTTGATGTTACATGTGTATGTAATATTTTTCTTGGCATATTTTTGACCTGTTTTCTTAGATGTCGCATACGCGCGTGTTCTACACACGCACTATCAGACATTTTGACACTTTGACTTTTTTGTCGCAACGATTCATTTGAAGTCATCATAGATTATAGCATATTGCAAAAGCTTCATTTCGAGTCGCTTTTGCTGATGTGCCGTTCCGGTTTGTCGAACCGAAAGAAGGCCGTCTGATATGTGCGCGCTACTGATTAAAAGTGAGTTTTGGCAAAGCGAGTGAGTTCTTTATTTTTACATAAATTGCAGTAATAATTATTTCCTCGCTTCTAATAAGTTAAAAATTCAAGTTGATTGTGGAAATATCTCTCGCGGAGCTTTTAATTAATTTACTCTTAAAACTTACGAATGAAATGGCGAACACATCCGTAAAGAAGAAAACGAAATTGTTGTATTCAGTGAAAATCTTTTCAATGTTTAATTTTTCCTCAAATAAAACAATTTGTCTTTGTAACTTTTTTGCATCAATTTACAAAATTGTAAACTCACATTTTACGCAAAGTGCATTGAAGCTATTCTATAATTAGGTTAATGTATCGTTATACGTCGCAACGTTATCCCGTGGAAGAGCGAGATTGCTTAGCTTCCCTTCTGAGACTTAGATATTCTCAAATTTATCTATCGCCGTTATGAAAAAGCAATTTAATCAAACTCCAGTTCAGTTATAATTTGATGGTCAATAAGCGCAATGTGCGACATGCCACCGTCGCTATTTACGCGTTATTTCGGATACTTTTCGATGCGAATTGCGTAAAAAAAATTTTCTTTAATAATTATTAATTTCAAAAAGTGTCGATCATCGAGACGACAGAAATGTAACATCGTTGAAATGAAAAGTGGAACACTATGCTTGAAAATCCTCTTCTCTCGGTTCCGATGTCTAACCTGTTGCGGCGCACGCACATCCTCTTCTCACTGTATCTCTCTCTATCCCTTTCTCTTTCTCTCACGATACTCATCTCCTTTTTCGTCTCCTTCCCTGGTCAAGGGTTTCTCTTTTCCTCCCCTTTCTCTCGCCACTTTTCCTTCATCGTTCTCTCTCTCTCTCTCTTTCTCGCTCTCTCACTTTCTCTTGATCCGCGTCTCTCTTTTCGCAACCCTCGATGTGGCGAAACCAACCGCCTACCACCCCCAACCCCCGACAGCTACGCTACGGCGGCGAAGCGCCGTTCTCTCTGGTTGTACGACGACGAGCCCTGGTCGGGTGCGTACAAAGTCAGTCGGGTTGGCCCAGTATTGCAGTACGGTTGTGATACCTGCTGACACATATCCGCATTATCGACCTGTATGTAATTGACGCACAAGAGAACCGAAGAGATCGACACGGTAACCCTTTTCGCCCGCCCTTGCCCCCGACATCTCATATTTTTTTCGTACGTGTAGTGAAGAAAAGAGTGAAATTAATTATCGCGATCAAACGCGGATACTCCCGTGTGCTGGATCGGACGATTAATTATCGCGACACACACACGGATGACCGATATATCGTGCGAGCAATTCAAACAAGTGATACGAAAAGTGTGTAAAAAACATTTCTTTGCCGCGTGAAAGTGAAGCTGTCCAATTGTTACTGTCGCTTCAACAACCGATGGCAAATCGGGTCAGCAGCGTGGCATCTAAGTAGTCATAACACGCGACGATTCGAACACCTGTCTCCTTAAGTAAAGAGACATAGATAAACAGATAGATAAAGTGAGTAACAAGAAGTAAGAGAGAGAAAGAGAGAGTATGTGTGTGTGTGAGCGTGTGTATGTGTGAGAGAGAGAGAGAGAGAGAGAGAGAGAGAGAGAGAGAGAGAGAGAAGAAGCAATGACGCAAGATTAATTGGATCAGACTACCGGTAGAGTAATGAGCCGCGGTTGTGCCTAACCGCTGAACCGTAATGAAATCAGAAGTCCTACTATGTTCAGCTTCATACATGATTAATCAACAAAGAAGACGAGGTCTTTTTAACATAAGACCAAATTTAATATAAAACACGGAATTAAGAAAGAGATCGATAAGGTGGTTAAGGATTTTGAGATCGCGAGACAGCAATAAGAACGAATTTTTTGTTGAAATCTTATAAGCGGACGACAGTAAGAATAAATATCTTATATTTCTCAATACTGTCTTCTCTCTTTTTGTACTCACGAGTTTGGATTTTTATTACAACGCGCTATCTAGAAAACGCTTTCTCTCGAGTGAGCACTTGATGTAACGTAACGATTCTCCGAAATACGACGTGTATCGTTCGGAAATTCAAAATGATACATATGAAAAATTTGAACGCGACATTGTGAAAAGAAAATAAATAAATAATGTACACGTAACTATTTAATTACCATGTTAGCGGTCTATAGAAATGTGATGTAACGTTAGTTTTCAATACGAAACATTTTTAAAGAATCGAATTCTGTATTACACATGTATAGCTTTTCATAATATTTGAAAAAAAATATTACATACGATATTGCACGTACGAAACACGATATAAATTACATAAAACTAACATACTTTATTTATGAGGAAAATATATACATAAAAGAGAAGCATGTATGCTTATATATGATCTTTACTACATTTACTTGCATATTTTTCACAGAACTATTGCGTTTTTCATTTTATCCTCTCAATTACTAAGTATTGATTTTCACTTTGTCAAAAAAGGAGCGCGTAAATTCCTCGTACTTCGTTATATATAAAATGTAATCATTTTGATTAAAATTTTAATTTTTTACTTTTATTAAATACATTCGCATTGTTTGTTAGTGTATTAATTAACTGGTTATTGATAATGTGTTAACGAAACAATTATTGCAAACCGTTACGAGCAATATAATATGTTGTTTATTTCTCTTTCTGCCGTAATTTGCGATACGTATCTCGGCTGTTACACGGTGCGACACACTTACGGGCGCGTCTAAATATTTAATTTTTTTAATTTCAATCAAAAATGCTTAAATAACCAGGCGCCAGTGTGCGCGACACCACACGAATATCCGAAACACAAATTGAAAAGCTGTAATATTGCAATAATGGGACCGTGTAACGACAATTAAACTCGGTCAGCTCGGCTCAATGTATTTGCGAAGAGGAGTGATCTCTCATAAGAGCGTGATTAAGAGCTGAAAGGAAGCAACACGTACAGTTTGCATAACAATAAAACATTCGTTCGTTCGGAATGATCGGTTACACATCAGCTTCTCCGGGGATTACTCGCATTCGGAACATCGTTATCATCAGCCTTTCGAATTCGATTGGCGTCAATTCGTATCTTCGCTTCGGTACGCTAGTAAATTACAGGAAAATGGACTACGCCCGTTATTACACGATGCCGCGGACGCACTTAAGCTCCGAGAAAGGACGTGATGACGACAATCGTAACTCGAGACGAAAACTTAATCGCAGATTAAACGCGAACGACAACTAAATGACGAGACACGATAGACAACGCGCGAGAGACTATAATCTTACAATAAACGACTTTGAAACTGATGCGAGAACTAATAATAAACGCTAAGTTAATGAGAAACGCGAAATTTGTGAAATTACTACTATGAACGCGAAAAGATTACAACGGACAATGGTCAACGAGACACGGAATTTTTTTACGAAACAAACGCTATGAGTGTTGCAATCACGTGAGAGAAAGAGATAGAGAGAGAGAGAGAGAGAGAGAGAATAGTGTCCGGTTCGGAACGAATGGGATAATCGCAGATCGCGTCAATCAATGCAAACGCAATATCGAGTTGCGGATATACCTTTTTTGGAACTCGCTAAATATCTTTAGAGGAAGGAATTGATCCGGACTCGTTTTACCACAGAGAAGCTGCAATCGTTGAAATTGAAAACGTCCTTCCCGGGGATTTTCAATTTCGTTTGTGAAAAAACAGCACGCGGTACTTTTTTCGCGATACACACATTCATTCGGTACTGGAGCGTGATAAACTAAACTTTCTCATTTGCTCGAGAGTCGCGCGAAGATTAGTCGGACGATCGAAGTAAAAAAAAAATTAATAATCGAACAACAACGTTGTAACACAAGTATTGAATGAACGACACGTCAAAAAAAAACAAATTTGTAATTACAGATATACGGAAAGCGACGAAAGTTGATGATAGAGCGCTAAATTTCCAAGCGCTGGATTTCTTCGTGCTGATGATTTCGATCAAAGATTTTCATTCTTAAAAGTCGCCGCGCGCGCGTTAGTCGCCGACGACAGAAGAGTTAGCAAAAAAAACGTAGAGCACAAATCCTCGATCCCGTGATACTCGTGGCCTTGTTTTGGACGCATTCGTCAAAGTGCCGGACAAATTGTCGGAAGTTCTAGGCGATGTCCTGGAGTTATGCGGCGGAGGCGGAAGCGGTGGTGCGACAAGCGGGGACAGAAATATGTCCAGCAATATATCGAGTAGAAACAACGCGGCCACCAAGATCGGCGCAGTGACAGGAGTAGCAATAATCAGGGGTAGATGGGCGCAGAGGGGCACGAGGTCGCCGCTTTCTTCCGTCGCAAATACCGATAGTGCTGACAGCACAACTTCGACCAGTTCGGAGGTACATATATATATATATATATATATAATCAGAATTCTGTATATATACGCACACAATCATTGCAAAACAAATATATTTTCAAAAAATATACAAGATACTAAATTTATATTTTTCTGTAATAAAAAAATATTGTGTCTAATTTAAATCTTATCTTTTAAAATATATATTTAAAACGTACACATCTTAAAAAAATAAAGAGAAACATTCTAGAAATAATTTCGGAAACTTCAAAGAGAGAGGAAGGAAGAGAGAAAGAGATAGATAGAGAGAGAGAGAGAGGAAGAGACATGAAAGTGTCATGCAGATCTGAATGTACTTGTTGCGCCCATTCTAACGTAACCTTTCCTCTTACTACGCGTGTAACTTTGTTAGCACCTTCTTGCGTGTTATGTTACCATGCGCGTACAGATATAATCTCTTGGTAAATCTCTCTAATTGTGATTAAAAGATTTTAGATTCGCGTGCGCTCGAAATCTGGACGTATACTTGCATATCGAGCTTCACAGATTCGAATTATTGTCATTCTTGTTTGTTTTTTTTTTTTTTTTTATTATTTTCGAGTATAAATATTATACAGAGAACAATTACGTCTCGCGTTCATTTGAATTAACAATGCGATATTATTGAAACACATCAGAATCGACATAATGTGTCTGTGAAGTGCGAGCGATAAGAATATATAAGCGCGCTCTTATTTTTAGTTAATAAAAATTTAATGGTTTCCCAGATAAATTTGCGATACGATAGTACGTCCCGTGCTTCGGATCGATGCTTTTCACTTGACAAGAAACGAAGAGTGGTTAATTGGCACTGGAACAGAGCTGACATATACACGATCATCCACGATCGGGATGTTCGTGCGTCACACAGTACGACCGACACGCGTTCAATTTCTAAAAACGTTCGATAAATCGAATAACACAAAAATTCCAACGTTAATCGGAAATATTCTAGCTACAGACTAGAAAGTGAAATGCTATTTTTGTTCCCACTGCATCGCAGTTTGATAAATATATTTTTTTTGTATTATTTCCAGAAAAGACTTTAAAAAAAAAAACAAAACAAAACAAAACAAAAAAAAAACAATTGCAGTTGTCTCACACGCGTAGTTTTTGTAAAAAGATGTGATATATATAGAACATCTCTCTTTATACTGTAAAATACCGGACGTAAAACCTAATTGAATTTTTTCGTGTTGATCGTGAAGATTATGACCCACTTTTGCACGAACATCAGTGAAACGTGTACTTCATAATTGTTCTCTCAATTATAAAGTACGCGTTTCTCTCATCAAATTGAGACACAAAATATCTTACAACCAATTCAATTAAAAATTAATAGGAGCTTCGCTTTGTCTCTCTGATTGTTTGAAATTTTTAATTGTTAAGAGTTGCGTATAATTTTATGGCAAATATACAGAATAGGGAAGCCCCCTCCGATCGGCTTTTATTTGTTTTGATTATTTATTTGAGTAATTCCGAAAATTTGTGTGCTACATCTTTCTTGATTTCTTTCTTGCAAATTCTAACACGCTTCTTTCCTGAGCTGATGTGACTATACTAAGCTCGCTGCTCGGTGTTTGTTATGCATGATCGATAACGGTACCATTTTCTTCGTTCGGTGCAACTTTGTCCTCGAAATATTCTAGCTCTGTTCATAAAATATCTCACTCGCTTTATAGAAAACTCTCCGAGTTCGTTGCGTCGCTGCTCAGCACCAGACAAAATTTCCATGATAAAGCGAGTTAATTTTCCTACAGCAACGCAAAATTAAAGCCTCTGTGTCGTGATAAAAAAAAAAAAAAAAATCACAAGCGAGAAACAAAAAGAAATAAATTTTTATATCGCGCGCGCGTACATGAATCTTCAATATATCGCTCCGTTTAATATGCGCCTGTTTCATATACGTTTATCGTGGAAATATCAATTCCGTGAAACAATCCTGCGCGACGAATGTAATAAATCGCAGGTATTGTTACTTTTTCCAAATTTAACTTTACTTTGAGAAGTTTCATTAAAAAATATATATATATGTTTTCATATATAAACTATTTTTTACTGTACTTTAACTATTTTTAACTATTTTATACTAACTATTTTAAAACTTTATCTTTTCTTTATGTGTTCAAAGTTTCATCACTCTTAAGTTAAACAGAGAAAAGAAGGAAAACAACAAATGCATATATTTATAGAACATTTATGTGTAGGACACGAAACTTTAGAAAACTTCATCCGATAGTCAAAAAAGGAAAAGAAACGCAACGCAACAATGAAAAAATCTCACAGTCGTGAACTCCCACGTAAGATTTCTGCAAACGACAAACAGTAAATCGCGATCGATGTCTAACACGGTATAGAGAAACGATGTGGCGATTTTGTTGTTTCGGCTTGGTGGGCGGAACCGTTCGCGGATTCTGTTCACAGCTCTGCTCCAAGTATCGACCCGTGAAAGGCAGCCTCCAGCGACCTCACCCCGTAACTGCCACCCTATCCTCTCGTCACGACGTTGAAACACGAACTTGGCATCTTTGAGCCTCGCTCCTCCTGTCTTTCTCTCCTCCACTCGCTCGTCTTCACTCTCCCTTCCTCCTCCTGGCTTCATAATTCAAAGACTCGGTCTTATCAAGAGCTATGGAGGACACTTCGAAACTTCAAAGAAATTGTTCGATTATCTTTACTACACCCGAGGCGTTGCTCTTACTTTCTAAATTTTTTAGAGTGAAAAATGCTCGAAAAATTGAGTGACTGTCGAATCGCTCGAGTGACTTTTCATTTATATCGAGTTTTCACCCAACCTTTCGTTGCAAAATGAATATTTTACTATGTAGAATATTTTCGCTGTGTATAGTGTAGAAAAAAAAAAAATCCACTCTCGTTTGGAGTGAAACTTTATACTCGAAGAAAATTTATATGCACCGATCTTGCACGATACAAGTCATCGAAAACAAAACATGCGCATCTGCAATTGAGTTGAAAAGAGAACTTCACACATATTTGCTTTTTTAAAATTTCGATTAACTCTCTATATCGCACACACACTTCGTTTCTTCACTTCAACATAAAGAGATGCCGTGTGATCGATAACACGGCATTACGCTTATGTTGTTCTAAAACAAACGATCTTTAACGGACGAGGTGAAATATTAATTAAAATAATACAAGAGCGCGAAAAAAAAAATTATAATACGCTCACGAAGTTATACGGGGATTAAGGTGGTTGAGAAATTCTCTTTGTTTTTATATCTTTTCTGAGAAAAATCTGCGATGTGACGTACATCATTAACAGAAAATATATATCGACGCGATGTCTCTTTGGTGCTGAGGCGGAAAACGATGAAAGTAAGTCTCACGGGAGACTGAAATAGAGGCAATTATTAACGTTGTGTCATAATTAACCGTAACAATGCAACAGAACACGCGAGTAGTTATATACAATATCGGAATACGAAACTATCAGTGAACACACAATCAAGAACCACACACAGACACGCTACTATAGAAAACACATACGTATATAAGTATATAAAAAATATATTTGTGCGACACAATATTATTTCGTGATATATTTTATGATCGAACGGCTGCTTCGACAGCTAGAAATATTCCGAGCAAATGAATTCCAGTAGCATTTTTCATCCGAGAAAAATGTCAGAAATTTTCTCGTTAAAACATTCTTCGGTGCAAAACTGGAGCAAGATAAATATACGTACGCAGTTTCTTTTACGCGCTGTGTATATCGAATAAATATTTATTCGTCGAATACGCTCGACGTACGCGCACAATTATGTTTCGAATGCGGAACAAACTCGTGTGGGCACGTCGGTTTAGATCAAAGTAAAATAAATTTTAATCGCTCTTTATGATTTTTCTATTTCAGGAATTTAACGTCGCGAAGGAACAACACGCCGTGCAACCGTCGAGCGAATCGAGTGAGTATCTTCTCTCATTGTCGCAGTTGCGAACGTCCCGCAAATATTAGCAGCAAAAGTTAGATGTAATTTAAATGATTATCTCTGTCTCTTCTCTCAGTACAGTTTCTGGAAAATTATACCAAGTTCTCAACCAGAAAGAGACGAGAATAATTAAATCATATATTTGACTTTAATTAATGCTTATGAAGACGCGCAGATACATCTACCTCGATTTACTTCTGAGTTGCTTATATATTATATCAACACAAACCCGTAATAAAATTTGTTTCCCATAACTATAAAGTTATTATTTCTTAAGATAATGTTTTTTTATATCTATTTATAGATTGCACACACACACACACATAACGACTGAAACTTAATTGCGAAGAAATTTTTACGCGCATCGTTGAGCATAACCGAAAGAACCTTACCTCCCGTTGCAATTGTGACAATGTTTCATCCCATCTAATTTTTCGTAATTCGTTTTCCACTTGGAGGCTTGCCCCATCAAAGTCGCAGCTATCCTGGCGGGGGTCGAACGCTTGCAAGAAACTCATCTGTCAGCTCGCAGAGCTCGCTGGAAGGTGCATCTTCTTGTTCTTCGAGTCATCGCGGCTCATCACCTCAGATCAAAGCATTTGGCCCTGACGGACGACATCATGCTCGACATGATCCTTTACATGCCGCTTCTTCGTATCCACCTACCAGAAAGTCGAGGTCGGTGGTGCAGATGGCAGTTTTAATATTAATTATGTATTTTATCATTATATATATATTTAACAAGAAAAGTAAGAAAAAATATTTTCTCCATCGAGCTGCAGTGAACAAGTTTGATACAGTGAATGCGAAAATGTGTGGGAGTCGAGCGAAACAATTTGAATACATAGACGGTCGATGGCACGAGCCGATATTACACTGTCATGTGAACTCTCACTCGTCGTCGTCTCTTTTTAGATTAGAAATAAAATAATAAATTATTATGTCAAAACAATAAATTATTTCTAAAAAATTATCGCAATTTTATTCAATTTTTCTAAGAAATGTTAGACGATGTAGAAAATGCAACGTTAAATTCTCAATCTCTCTCGAGAGAGTTATGTAGATTACACAGTTTGGAAATTTCCTACAGATCTCCTTCACCAGCACGGGCCTCGTCCTTGGATGCGCGTTGTGCAAGTCCTGCGAGTTACTCGGGCAGCTTGCACAGTGGAAATGCATCGCCTTCGCAGACTTCTTTGTCGTCCGTAGCAACAGCAAGTTCCACTTGCGGGTGTTCGCCGATAAATGCCGTTCAAAGTACCTCCAGACAGCCCAGCCGTTGCTTATCACCTCTTCTCATCCCGCCGCCACGTGCTTCTATAAGGTACATAATATATCGTTTTCCCACATGATAAAACCGTAAAAATAAAAATCAAATAAACGCAACAAAATAAATAACGTGATAAAAATGTTTATCGGAAGTTTTATATACATATATACCCACATATATATAAGAGTGTTTTATAAACACCAATGGTTATATTAAGAACAATATTTATATTTAAACAACGCTCTCACGTTTATTTACATTAAATTTTTTATTAATTATTTCTCTTCTTTGATTAAAAACCAAACTTCTTTGTGACGCCGCGCGTCTAGCAACCGTGAGTGCGCGAAACATTGATTTGTTTCTTCGCGGATCTTTATAAATTATCATTATTACAATTTAACATCGGATAAAAGATATTTAGAACAGTTTAAAACAATTTATTCCCAAGATACTTACAAAATAAAAGATAATGTAATACGGAAATGTGTAAAATAAAAAAAATATAAGATGTACTTTTTATTTACTTATCTGTAGCAGCGACAGTGGGCCCCTACCACCTGCTTCCCCTCTTGGTTCTTTACAACCGGATCTTTATCAAAGACGAGACGGTCCTGTTTTTCTTAGCGCCCGCAGGTACAAAACAATTTGATATTTATTTTTGTGATTCGATCGTGAAAATAACACATCATAATATTGTTGTGCGATTAAAGGACAGGTAAACATCTTGGTAGACTGCACTTGCGTTTGAGATACGACTACGATAAATCGGATTTGGATGTGCATCTGATTGAAGCGCACGATCTTGCCGGGAGCGATCAAGGCGGTTTTAACGATCCTTACGTGAAGCTTAGCCTCAGTCCCGAGGTGGACAACAGAAAGAGGCAAACCAAGATCCATCGGAATGATCCAAATCCGTTTTTCGATCAGCACTTCAAGTTTCCCGTTAGTTACGAAGAGCTGCAGGAGAAGACTCTCCTTCTACAGGCAATCACATTCTTGTCAATCGCGTAACTTTAGTTTTTTTTAGATTGGGATATCTGATTTTTCAAAATCGCTGACACAATAATTTGTGACGTAACTAGGTTTTCGATTACGATCGTTTCTCAAGGAACGATGTGGTGGGTTCCGTAAGGGTGGCAATGGACAGTCTGGAACTAGTCTCCTCCACTTCTTCGGTGGAAATTTGGGGCGAAATAGCGAGGGAACGCAAACCGCCGGAGGAGATACAAGAAGTGCTGGTCTCATTGTCCTATTTACCAAGCGCCGAGAGGCTCACGGTGCTTATGATGAAGGCCAGAAATTTGTTCCCCCAACCGGTAAAGTTTAGTCTACACATCAATTGTGTATAACATATTTTGACAACATAAATGTTTTTCATGTTGATTATTATAATGTATCAATTCACACAGTTGCTATCAGATGTTTAACAATATCGCATTGTTTTATCGTGATTATATCAATTATGAAACGTTTAATTAACGTGGTGACAGGATAAGGAAACGTTAGATCCGTTTGCGAAAGTTAGTCTTCTTTGTGGGGAAAGGAAAGTGAAGAAGAAGAAGAAAACAGCTGTCAGAAGAGCAACAATAAATCCTGTTTGGAACGAAGCGATGTCATTTAACATTCCTGCCTCGTCATTAGCATCGTCAGCTATAGAGGTAATTTATTTTTAACAAAAAAGACCGCAAACATAAACGCATTGCGCGATAAATAATATTATGCAAAAATAAATATGAAATATATAATAAAATATAATAAACGATTAATTTTTATCTTATGGAAGATATGCGTGATGGATTCGAGCAGCAGCAGCGAACTGATCGGCGGAAATCCCATCGTCGGGTCCTGCATCATCGGACCGGCCACGGGCGCGGACAACAGCCAGGGACGGGAGCACTGGCTTCAAATGACACAATCGCCGCGGAAGCAATTCGCGGAATGGCACATATTGCATTAAATTCAATCAATCACATACGGTTGTCACAATCGAGCTGATCCTCGAGTCCGAGTGCACTCGCACGGATCATTACAAGTATATTTTACATGTAAAATTGACACGCAACTTCTTCTTTAACAAACAAAAAAAAAAACAAAAAAGAATAGTCTACAAGATAAAAGAAAATGGTATTCCATCGACATGCCATACTTCTGCACTTTTATAAGTATATATATATATATATAATACACGTTAATAGTTGTAAAAAACACACACACAGAAGTAAAAACTCTCCGTAATACATATCGTTTAGAATGTCGATGTCTAAAAAATAGTAAGAGAGAGAAAAAAAAGATATATATATCTTCTTTCTTTCTCTTTTTAATCACAAATATGGTTTTTATTTTATACGTGTAATGCTTTTATTGATATTTGATATTGGTTTGTCGCCGAAAGAATTCACGTGTCATGTAATGTGTTATTTAGAATAAAAGGTGTGAATATCAATAAGAGCGTTAAGCAAACATATATACATATGCATAAAGTAAATATTTAAAACAAACTAAAATATTGTATAAATCAATATATATGTGAAATGAAAGAATTATATATAGATATATCTCGTGCAGATTATGAAAATGGACATCAGTAATATTAACGGTAAAATTAAAAGCGACGATTGCAGAATCTAATAATCAAAGTTTCTTCGGAAAAACAGAATTTTTATTAAATATATTTTTTATTGCATTTATATTTTAACACATAACAAACGTGGTCTCATGATTTTTGTCACAGATGTATACATTGATATTACTGATTTCCATTTTTTTCTCTACCTGTGCTGCATTAAAAAACAAAAAAAAAAAACAAATATTATATACTCTTCTTGACGAGACAATGTAATGTTTACTGACGTACAATCATCACGGATGCATGCTATCAAAAAACATTTTCGATATTATTATATATCCTATCTTATCGCGTGTCGGCAAAAAGCTCTTTATAAAGGATACGTTTTTACAGAAGTCTTTTTTTGTTACATATATATAAAAAGCTAAATATCCTTTTTCCAACTATTATTACATATTGTATATTCTATTATTATATATATATTATATATACATATATACATTATTATATATACATATATATATATATTGCAAAAAATTATATATATATTATACAAAAAATCATCTTTACACTTGCTTAACGTTAAAAAACTTCAATTGTTTTGTCAATAAAAATATCCGATATTGCAACATCGGTCGTATTTGCGATGTTAAACGCGAGTGTTGTTTGTTTACATGTTTGTATGTAAACTAGAGAAAAACGAAACGGTATTATATCTTTCTTCGTTCAACACGTATTCACACTGATGACCTGAACTTGCCTTGCAGTACAAGAAAAAAATAGCCTCACTTAAAAATAGTCTTGTTCCGTTATTTACTTGTAGTATTAAAAGTCCACAGCTAGTACACACATGTATACATGTGTAAAACGTGAACTACGGGATTTCAATACTATTAATAAATAACGCAGCCTTAATATTTTAAGAGTAACAAAAAGATAATCTATAAAAAAAAAAAATGATCGTCCTGCCAATATTGGATAAGTAAAGAACATTTTATCTTACTTATCGTGATTAAAAAAAAAAAAAAAGAGATAAGGCGAGAGGAACGTTCTTACCGCGAAAAAAAGCTTTTCGCAAAAAACTTTTAAAAGAGATAAGTGTCCTGTGTCTACTCAACGCAAAGTATAAATACTATATAATGTATTCTATATATAAATGTAATGTGTAATCAATATTTTCTTTTAATGTACTCTCGATTCACAATCATACTTTTATGCAAAATAAAAGAATATTATATCATAGTTACATATCGGAAGTCGATACTTACCTGCAACCCCTTCGACGTAAGAACTCACTTCTTTGAGAAAAAACGACAATAAAATGTCGAATTGTTTTTTAAATAATGCACACGCGCACACAGTTTCTTGTTCATTAAATAAAACTATATATTGTTTGCTTCTTCTGTCTCAGGCTTCTGTCATCACACAAACTGCGTTCGAAGAGCGCGCTATTCGCGCATCATTCCATCTTTATCGCTCATTAGATGTAAAACAAAGATAGAACAACGCACTAGCGCAGATAGCGCGCTCCCCGACGCAGCCGAAGGCGTGTGACTACGCGCGCGTGCGCGTGCGCAGAATAAAAAATTGTTGGTACATACTTTTTGTGGAGTTTGCATAAACAAAACGAAGAAGTTAGTAGTGTGGTAAGATAGACGTCTGCTCTGGTTCGGAACTTCCGAATATTCACATACGTCAGTGTAAAAAGTCGATCAAGAAAGAAGAACTTCAGAGAATATTTACTATTTTTTTACATATATTCTGTAATCAAATCAACAGGTAAGCGGTACATTATTATTATTATTATTGTCAAAAAAACTTTTTTGGCGCCATTTTTTATATCTGTGTTTTTGTAGAATAGTCTTTGCTTAGAGATTTTTATACAGTAACAATGTTTTTTTAGTTTTATGTGAAATAGGAAAATAAGAGATTTGATGGAGGATTTATTTTTTTTTTATATAAGAACATACATACGTGTATTTGAGGATTTTTTCTTACTATTTTTGAAAAAGAAATCTCTTTTACGCCTTTTTATAAATACAGCCCTGAGATACATCCCATTCAGCGATGTGCGGCAACGCGTAGAGATAAACGTTTGTATAGTTGGTGGGATCGAGACGTGCCGGAGAGTCGTTTTTACCGACTTCGTCTTCTCCTATCGCGATCTGTCAAATCGAACTGATAATAATACCGGAAGCTCGAGCTACACAATAATTAAGCGGTTCTTACAAATAACGGCATCTAAAACAAACAAGTGTAATCGTAAAAACAAGAAGTTACATAGTAATTTATTGTTTTGTCGATACAGAAAATGAATCTTAATCCCATGAAATGGAAAACAAGAATTATCACGCAAAGTTTTCTAGGCATTTTGCTTTTTTACATATTACTCGTTTACAAGATGAAGCATCAAGTTATGTTTGAGGCCATCGTAAATAATTCGGATCCTAAGCACGTGTGGGAATTTGTAGCGGATTTTAGCAATATGAAAAAATTGAATCCAACAATGTAAGTAAAAAATGAAACTTTAAATAAATGTCTCGGATTTTTGAGAAACATATTTTTGTATATAAAATGTAACTTCTGTTATAACAAATAATATTTTTTTTTAACTTGAAAAAAGAAATAAACTATATAATGTTACAAACTGTTTAAATTCTTTTTTACCTGATAAATAAATTTTACCTGATATTCACTCTTGTTTGTTGAACCGCAGAGAGGACTTTTTCGTGATCACCGAAAGCGGGAATTATGATCATTGGAAATATTCCGTTGAATATACGGAACATTTAAGTCATCTACCGATGATCCGTAACGTAGCGCACGGACATTACGCTGTCAGGCCAGATGACAAAGGCTACGTCATCAGTTCGAAGCACCGAACTTGCTTTGTCTTCGGTTTTTATTGCCGTAAGTTGAGTCAATCATATTTTGTGCACTTTTTTATTCAGATTGAGTCTATAATTTTTGACGAAAATCTGGTTTTTGATAGACTTGGATATCACATGTTACATACACACATATATACGTACACATAAATTTACATATCTATGTATTCCAAGTAGATTATTTGCTTTTCAGTGGAGTCAGTCTCGCAATTCAGATTCGACGTTGATGCCATGAAAGATACGAAATGTATCGAAACAGTGCAGTATGAATGTCCAGTCGCATTTTCTATTCTGTGCTACAAGGAAGTCATGTATCAGCGAGAAGAAATCATGAAGAGACTTAAATCGGAATTTGCCACAATTAATAAACAGAAATCTTAAATGCGTTCTCTCTCAAAATATATTACACATGTACTTATTTTTATACAGAAGAGATTTGTTAAGTAAACATACTTTTATTATACAAGCGTTCATTAATAATCGTATTACCTCTTGTAAGCAAGTAGAACGAATTGTGCCGAATCGAAAAGTTCTTTATTATTTTGCTAGTTTTGCAATAATTTAATTTATAAAGATCCGCGAATGAGCTCCCAGTTGCTAAACGCACGGCAATTGGTTGACAATCCTGCCACACTTTCTGCTCCGATTGAATGTGATCGCATCCCAAGAGGTTCCACAAAAAAAAGACGTTTCAGAACTCTGAAATTCACAAAGATTAGACCAATTAGAGAACAAAGTTTATTAGACTTGAAATTGAGTTACTTTATTCTAATTAAAAATTATGTTAAATGCAAGTTCAATCTCAATTTTTTAATCCGCAGTCTGATACGGGCTTTAGTGTACGTCACTTGCACTAGTGCAGCTCCAGTGTAAAGAAAAAGAACAAACCCAAGGTAAAACTTGCTAACACTTGCTAAAGCGAGCGAACCATACGGTATTCAAATGGCATGCTAATTCGGTTGTCCACGTGATCACTACTGTGATAGAACGTATATATGTATGTATGTACAATACATACGTATGTACATTCTGACACGTATATATGTGATATGTATGCCTGCATGATGTGTTCACACGTATCCGTGTAATATACAAACAAAAAGTGTGGACATATGTTTGTATAACTTTAGAGGATTTGAAGGTGACGTTGACTCGATTCCGCACAATTTACTTCAATTTTCAATATACGGTATATACGTACTTGAAATCCCATCTTCTCCAAGACAATAAACTTCAAACCGACGGAGATGGCGACATCCGAGAGCGATGCTGACTTTGAGAGTGCCGACGAGGAGTTGATCAGTAGTATGACTGTCAAAAAGAATGTCCAACCGGCCTATAAGAAGTCAACGGTGGATTCTGAGTCCGACTCGGACACTGAGTACGTCGAACGTCCACATTGCGGAAGTTCGAGTTACTGGACAAGATCCGAATCCAAGGCGAGCATTGCTCTGCCGCATGAGGCGAAAGGTCAAAAAGTGACATCAGTTATTAGTGATAACGATAATAAGACGGATAGCAATGTCAAAGTTCATGAAAGCGATGTCATCAAACCAGTTGGTGATTCGGAAAAGACTTTTATTAGTCGAGACAATACACCTTCCTCTATGAACAAAGATACTAAATCTGCAATAGACAAACAGATTGTAAAAACGGATGATACCAAGTCGAAAGTAGAAACAACAAAGATTGGAATCGTTTCTACAAATACAAGACAAAAAGCATCTACCAAATTGGGTGCAAAGAAACTAGGCACTAGAATTTCAAGTGACAAAGTAGATAAATCTCGCACTATGGACAATGTTCCCGTGGAACAACAAGACAAGTGTTCGGATGAACATTTTGTGAGCAAGAATACAGAATCTACGGAAGAAAAATGTGAACGATTGATGAACGATCAATCCGAAGATGTAAATGATTTGTTGGAGCCAGAGGAGTTAAAGTCGAATAAAAAATTTAAAGAAGTTTTTGAGCTGGAAGATTGGGAGGGACTCGATGCCCAACTGCCAGATGAACTGACGGAAGAAAAATTACAACCTGTGTTAAAAAAGCTTACCTTAGCAAGCGATGATCAGGACAATTTTTCGGCAAGTTGGAGCAATTGGGGAAACTGGAACGTCTCTTCGTTAATCGACACAGCCGCCACAAGTATGACTACTCTAAGCACTCATGTGTCTCAAGGACTTAATATTTCAAAAACTTATATTTCTCAAGGACTTGCACAAGATCCTACAGAAACAATAACGCAAGATGAAGCTGCCACACCCGATGGTATAGTATTTGATACAATTTCTATGCCAACCAAATCTTATATTGGATTGTTCGGATAATTTGTTTTTCAATAAGTGAAATTACATGTCACGACATAGCGCAGATACTAAACATATTTGAACAGTACCGTATATAAATATTTACACAAGCTAAATTATATAAACCGATTCAATGAGTCTTAATTTCATTTTAAAAAATTAAAAAAAAAAAACAATACGTACTTTTTAGAACAAACCGATATATGTACACGTGTATTGTATAAATTACATTTTATGATGCATTTGTATTTTTTTTTTCTTTTGTTTTACCAGATAAGCCAGAAATTCAGGAACAACAAAAAGATCAATCGTATAGTTCGTTCGGACTCGGGAATCTGATGTCAGGAGTTTCTTCGATCACGAAGCTAGTTGAATCTACTGGTAGCAAGGTCATGACAGGTGGTTTGGATACGTTAGAGGCTATTGGGAAAAAAACAATGGAGGTGTTGCAAGAGGGTGATCCCGGATTGAAGAAGAAAAGAGCCTTTTTCACAAATGAACCTGAGAAACCTATTTTATCGCAAATTCTTAGAGAAGCCAAGGAAAAAGCCGAGATCGCGGAGAAAACAGCCGAGGAGCGCGAATTAGCTAGACAAGTGAATTTTGGAAGTCTTTTTGATGATTATCAGGGACTTGTTCATTTAGAAGTTCTAGAAATATTATCAAAACAGAGCAATCTGAAAATTCGGCAACACTTGATACAGTTAGACGAGAAAGACGCGAATTCTGTGAAAGAAACATTGGAAGAGATCAAAGAACTTTGTGATTTAGATGAAGAACACAGTGACGATGAAATCTTTGACATGGACTTGAGAGATAAATTACAATGTGCCTGTCACGATCTCGGTATTGATATTACTTACGAAAAACTACACGATGTAAGAAAATATTTATTCTAGGAACAAGACTGTGTTTAATCAAGTTCATCAAATTTCTGTTTGAAATTAAACGCCGATACTTTCAGGTTTGGGTGGAAACGGAAAATTATCTCGCATCATCGCCCACAGACCATGGAGAAATCTTTCGAAATGCCATATCGACACTGGCCAAGTTCACAGCATTTTCCATAGAGAGATTTCATAAAACGGCGGAACTGTTAATAATCAAGAAACGTCGCCGTACAGTAAGCGAAGCCGACGCTTTGGTGCAACTTACTCGTATTCTTTCTAATCAGATTAGTTCTCTGGCGAAGTTGTTCTGCCAGACCTTAAAACAGTTTGCGGAAATTGAAGAAAAATCGGACAAAATTAAAACGAACGTAACAACGACTTTTACAGAAGTAAGTTGTTTTTCTCTTTCTATTATTACAAATCTAAAAAAATTATGAAATATACGAGCTCAAATAACTATAATATTACAAAAATCTATTGCTTTTTATACAGGCTTCTAACGCAAATTTGTATATTCAAAGTGCTTTTAAACTTCTGATTCCAATCGTGCAAGTTGGTGCTATTTTCTGAGGTATTATCAATTATATGTAAGATATCTTTTTATATTTTACGCGTACTATCGAATTAAACCGCATACTTTTTTACACGTAGCTTATAGTTTCACCATTTTTTTATCACTCAAAAACTGCTCTCCACGGTTTATTTACGTTTTTATTTGAGACAAAATTATTTACACATGTTAAGAGGGACCAATTTATCATTAAGTTTCCATTACATTATTTTATCAACTTTGATCTTTGAAATTTGTAATATAAAACATGAAGTCAATACATGTGTGTAGAATAATATTCAATAGATAAAGATACATTATTAACTATTGTACAAAAACACGTTAATAATAATGTACAGAAACACATTAATAGTGTGTTTCTGTATAATAATATTATTTCAAAAAATCGCATATCTTTGGATATTTAATCATACGATGATGTGAGAGATGAGATTGATGTAAATTAATACAAAATATATATATATATTTGTACAATATATAAGATAAATATAAATTTTTTTCTAATATAATAAACTCTAATGTTTAGAGAGTCGAACATTAATTTACTCCATGAGAAATAGAGAAAAAGATGTATATATGTAAGAAAGAGAAAAAGAAATATAAAAAAAGAAGAAATAACACATTAACTCTATAATCAAATGCAAAACATAAAAATACTTTTTAAATGTTTGATTTTAACTTACATTAATACTAACACTCTAGTAAAAAGAAGACTGCAACATCGTATCGAACTTGAAAATTAACATGTCGATACAAAAAAAAAAAAAAAACCAGAAAGAAGATTAGAAAAATTATGATCCTACGTGAGTGATCAATGTTTTCCTCGTTTATTACCGACTGGTGGTTTTTGAAGCTGAAAATTTGAACTGGATCCATTTACTGGCAATGGTGCGGTTAAATTAATTGGCACGTTAAAATTTAAACTTGCAGTTGGTGGTTTTGTGGATGAGCCTACAATGTTAGTGGCGGATGGTACTGATGTCGAACTTTCCCAAACTGTAACAATATATATATATTCATATCATCACTTTCAATTTACAGTTTAAAACAGCAGTAATGTTATTGTAAAAATAAAATGTTTATATAGCTAAAGCCACAAAGCAATATTTCTCATACACTGTAAATATTTATAGTTTTGGTGAGATCGTTTTAAGAGGCTTCGAGTTTTTATCATTTGTATTTTTTCTTATCTACTTGTCGATATTTTCACACTAATTGACGTTTCTGTTTACGTTCAAAATTTATGCGTGTAATTTATGGACTCTTTCGAAAAAACTCCTATGAAACATTGCAGATACACGAGTACCCACTGATTCTTGAACACTTATTTTAGCCATATTGAATTACATGTTGCAATTTTTATTCATATTTGTAACGGATTTGACATAGTATTTTTCTTTTAGTGATTAGTATTTATACTTAACGCAAGCGCGTTACCGCATGATTACAGCACATGCGTGCGCGCGCATGTGTTTGTGTGTGTATCTGTATACGTGTGTGCGTATATGCGCGTGTTGTTGTTTGTTTGGGAAGCGTGATTTCAAAAGTAAGTCTTCCAATATCATTACACAAATTGCTCAAAGAATAGAAAAGTCAAATATTACCAATAAAAATATTGTGTGTGTGTGTACATACGTATACATTATATATACATTATAAAAATACACATGTTACCCGTTCCCTACACTTCGCAATATAAAATCTGAAATAAAAGTTGAATACTTCAAAATAATTTTAAACTACAGTCTCTACTGTTTCCCTACAAATTAAAGCCAAATCGTCGATGAACCAATATATTTGCAAGATAAGAAAAAGAGAAAAAAAGTAGATAGTTTTAATTAGAAAAATTACGTCGATTCCATTTAGTAATAAATGACGTTACGTATATTAGTAAATTCTACCTTGTAACTAGATCCACGCAAGACCTGAAGGTAGGAAATTTTTAGGGAGGAGGTGATTTTTTTTAAAGTCATTTTTTTTTAAAGGAATTTTTTACTTTTTTAGTGTGAAGAAACGGCGATATATATATATATATATATATATATATATATATATATATAAAAGAATTATAAAAGAGAGTTAACAACAAAGCCTAAGGAATTAATTACCTAAGGAATTTCGTGTTTCATAACTCGTAGGTCGGTTTGAATTCAATGTTGTCGATGTTAGAAAATTTTTATTGCCTGTAATAAAAAACAATCTTATTTGTTTGATCTAAATGTAAAAACATACAGATCTGCAGATCACAAATGAGTTTGTTTGTGATAAACAAGAAAATATTGTCAAAATAGTTATTTTTGGGATGACGTTTTGTTTCATCATTTTAAAATCTTTACACAATAACAAAATTTTGAAGTCGGCCTTGAACTCAGCAACCAAAATTATTTTAAAAAAATTAATACATTTATTCTCAAGTAAATTCTGAAAGTTTCCTAAATTCGCAGGCTTGCGGTACCAGTTGCGGCGGTACAAGATTACTAATTTCAAGTGCATGAGGTATTACCTGGCCCAAAAGGAGTAGGACCGCTCGTAATTTTTCCAGTAGTGTTTCGAGTAGATTTACTATTTGCTGTAATACTATCGAAAACATTCGTGTTGTCTTTCAGTACATATTTTCTGAAATTGAGATATTGCTCCTTCTGTTGTTGCACTTTAGCGTGCACATTTTGTAATCGACCAGCAACCGCGATCAGAGACTCGTGAATCTTGCTCATGGCTACAGTTAATTCTATCGAAGCGATATAAGATGATTAAAAGAATTTTTTCCTCAATTTAAATTAAATTTATTTAATAAAACAAGTAACATACCTTGCGGCGTTAATGTTCTCGGTGCCATCATAGCTTGTATATGCTTTTCCGTCGTTTCGATTTGTGACCTAAATAATATCAAATCATATTCAAAACTTTCGGCTAGTTCCATGAAAAATTGAAGAGGTGCATTATTTTCATATTGCAAGCCCGGTGGAGTATCGTGAGTTCTTTGAGCTATTTCGGCATTTTGCAATGCCTTTGCTGTGTCTTGCTTCAATTTATCAGCTGAAGAACTGTCCCGTTGCACAGAACCAGATAAAGTAGACAACATCTCCATCAAGGACGCTATATCTTCCGCACATCGATTCAGCGGTCTCGCTGAACCTCTTGCTATATCAGAAGACAGGCCTTTCTGTATTTTTACAAACTCCCTGTAAAGAATCGATACTAACATATCATATATATATATTTATATATATATATACTTCATATGTATCTATCAAAATAATTACTTGAATTTATCTATGGTTTGCACAAGTTCATTTGGCAGTAGATTTTCTTTGGCAGCGGTTGCACTACTACTACCTTGAGAAAGACCTTTATTATTAAGAGAAACATCCAAGCCACCGAGTCCTTTAGTTGCAATTGTAGTAGTAGTAGTAGTGATAGCGGTAGCACCGATTGCTGTGCCTAATAAAGTATTTCCAGTTCCAGATCCAAATAAAGAAGCTGTACACACAACATTATTGCATATTATAATAATTTAGTGTTATAATTGTTTTTTTAAATTGTATACAAAGTTATATATATATATATATATATATATACTTACTATTAGTAGTGGCTGTACCAAAAGTTAAACTTGCTCCTGCTGTTGTATTAGATGTTGCACCAAATGTTAAAGAGCTTGTTGTACTTGGTGTAAAACTAGAAAATAAAGATGCAGATGTCATTGGAGTGGAAAATAAACTTGGAGTGGCCATTGTACTAGATGTATTAGATCCCAAAAGCGAACTGCTTTGCGTCTGTGTGCTCGAGGTTGCTGTACTACCAAATCCAAAATTAAGTCCTACTGTAGTTGCCGGAGAAGATAATGTGCTAAATGTCATTGTACTAGGCGTTGTAGTTGCAGCACCAAAGGCTGTATTGCTTGTACCAAAACCTGTTGTCGCTGGTCTTGAAACAAAAATAAGAGTTGATAATACATTTGTTTTTTTACATCGTAGAATATAACGTGTACACATGTCGATTTAATAAGAAAATCTGATGTGGTATAATTTATTATACATCATTGCTGTAATATTTTGTGTTAAATGTTTTTTCAAAAGTAGTGATGTATTAACTTATACATATAATTTACTTTTGCGTTCCAAATCCAATATTGCTGGAAGTAACCGTTGGAGATCCAAACGTAAACGCCATTTCTTATACTGACAACAAGTAAAATATATATAAATTACAAAGTAAATTACAATCTAGTTGCATTAATAAAACTATCGTAACCTAACCTAACGCACATGCATACAAATAAGTTCCCACACTACAGCCTGTTTCAAGCCTGTATTAGCTTAAAGATTTCATTGCCGCGTTGTTCTCGTTCGGAAACAAAAATTTTCATTGGCTGCTCGGATAGAGAGTTCTCTAGAGTTATTTATTCGACAGCCAATATCTGAATCCGAATAGAAAAAGTTTTAAGCGTAACCGTAAGATCTATACCAAACCGTCCAATCAGAAACGTTGGCGTTTCAAAAAAAAAACACGACTTCAATTCCGCCGTACAAGCTTCTTAACGCGGACGTAGGCCACGTGATCAGCTGCGCGTGTGCTGCGGGAGTGTGAGCAGCTACTAAGCGCTCGACGAAAACGTGTGAAAAAGTGCGCGTGCGCATCCCACTCGTTCCCTACTCGAGATGATAATCCCGGTGCACCTGCGCCCACGACTAGCGCCACTTGAAAAACATAGCGGAAAATATGCGAAGCAGCCGAAAGGGCAATACGTTCGTCTATTCCCGCTGCCGTTCGTACACAGCGGTCAGAAACACACTCAGCGGTAGAGAAAGAGATCGGTAATAATCGTCATCGGACGAGCGTGACAGAGACAGTCGCGCTCGGCTGCTGCAGCCCGCAACGTGCAACGAAAACGCGCGACGCTGAGTTAAACGAAGACGGACATTGTCGAAGCAGTTGGAGGGAGACAGTTTTTGTGGTATTATATAGCCGTTGTGAGTAGCGGGAGGAGAGAGACGAGCGAGAAGCAAAGAGAAAGAGAGAGAGAGAGAGAGGGAGGTATTGCCAGGCGCGCACACGGCATGAACGTTCAGTGGCATGTCTCAAACACTCGGCATGCTCGTAGCTGATGCGATTACTAGTTCCGCCAGAAACGAGAAAATCGTTTTCGTCGCGTATTATATCGTGAAACATGGTGTGCACTTGTACCTGGCGAAATCGTGCGTGAGAACAAGGATTACTGTTGAACCGAACTGTAAGGAATCGTAGGTAGGTGCGAGTTTCTCTCTCATCGGTACCAAATGATCGATGAGATCGCACGGGGACCAAATTTTTAGTGCTTGTATCCCTTCGTGATATACGTGAGTGCGCGCTGTAGCTTACTGTAGCTTGTTTTTATATATACATTACATATATAATTTATATACAGATATATACTGTGATTAAGATATATATTATCATATGTGTGTGTATATGTGTACGAGCAAAACAATAGTGGACTGACTTGATAGCATTCGGTCAAAAAACTCAACGTACGAAGAAAGTCACAGAAACGCTGAGAGACAGAGAGAGAGAGAGAGAGAGAGAGAGAGGGGAAAGCATCGAGTGTGCTCACATTCCTTGCATACGAAAGACGTCAAGATCTGCCGCTCGGCCACCACAAGCCGGGACCGACGAAGGAAAAGGGTATACGCGGTGAAAACGCGTACGCTCTATCACAACTGTGTGTTGTTGCACGTTGAAACCCCGGCGATATATAGCGTCGCGTTTTTAAAGAAACCTCCAAGTCTCGAAAGAATCATCATCTATCGTTTCCACATCTTCGTCGCTGTTGTTGCCCCGCAGCTGCCGCGAAAGACACCGTCGTCTGTCTATATAGTGTCGAGGAGCAGAAGAGATCGCCAAGTTTATGTATATCAGATATCGTCGCGTCGAAGCGCGCGTGCGAATACCGATAGTTGTGTGAGGATCGCTGCTGTTTTGCGAACACACACACACACGTTCGTAATTACTTTTCTAAGGAGAATTATCGAACTGATCATCGACTGCACAAGTGCGAAGTGAAAAAGACATCGAGGTGACACCTGACAGAAGAGGGGATTACACGTACGTCTCTCGGAGAGTGAAATGACAAGTTGCGCCGGACGACGTGTTCGATCGGAGAAAGAATGAGTGCGCGGTAAGAATATATCTCAGAGTGTTGTTGTTGTTGTTGTTGTTGTTTTGTTTCTCTTCGGATTTCCTACGTACGTAGTGAAGAAGAGGAAGGTCGTGTCTGACGTTATAAAGAAGAGATAATTCGAAATTCGTTTAAAAGAGAACTTGGCGAGCGCGCGGAGAAAAATAATAAAAAAAAATAAATAAAAAAAAAAAAAAAATAAGAAAAGTGAGAAGAGGGAGTCTACAAGAAAAGTGGTGGTGATGATACGCGAAGTACATCCAATCGATGCACTCGTGCGAGTGCAACACTACGACACTGTCACTGTCGTCGCTGCTCGCCGCCTCCGGCTGCTACTCCGACGGCCGGCTGTTTTAACGGTGGAATTCCGCTCGAGAGGAATCTGAAGGCGGGGACTCTGACGTCACTCCACTCATGATAATGAGGTATTCATGATGGCGGAATAGTGCGCGCGAGTAGAGAAAGAGAAAGAACGTGCCGCAACACACACACATGTATGTACAAAACTGGTGGCTGCGTACATATATATATATATATATAGGGTGTAGTAGGTGAGGGTGTGTGTACGTGTGTGTGTGTGTACATGTGCAATACGTTTTTCATCACTGTCTTCGTTGCACCAGTGAAAGCCGCTCGTTCGCCGTCTCGTTTATTCCATTCCGCTGTTCTCTCCGTACCCGGTCGCCCTGTCCTCTCATTCCTTCCTTTCTCTCTACTCTGTCTCTTTTGTCGTCTATCTATTTCACTCTCTCTCTCTCCTGTTTTTCGCGTCACCCGACGAGCGAGCGAGGTGTATATGCGGCCCGAGAAGCCCGTGTGTCCGCGCGCGCACAGATATGCGTTTGTCGACCGCGCGGCGATAGAGAGAGGTTTTGGATGGATTTAGAGCGCAGTGAAATATGCCAAGGAGACGGAATGGGGAGATACCGCTTCCGGAAGGGTGGGATGTCGCCCGGGACTACGACGGAAAGGTGTATTTCATCGATCATAACACCCGGAAGACTACGTGGATCGATCCTCGGGATAGGTATGTAAAAGCAGTTTCTCCCTTCTTCATTGCCGCTTCTCTTTCTCTCTCTTTTACACACATACATATATATATACACACACAGAAAACGTATCTTTGGACGTGTATACCACGCGCAAGCGAGCGAGCGAGCGAAATCGCGTGCACATCGCGCTCTGTGTGCGTGTGCTGCTGGAGCGTTACGACGATGCGCCCCCTCTTCTACCTCTTTCTCTCTTGTAGCCCGGTCTTCTGTGCACGAGAAGTGCAATCTCGCGAAGATACGCGCGATTCAGCGGGAATGCGTGTATGTGTACGGGCGGTATCGTCGCACACACACGCGCTTTCTCTCTAATGCATTTTTCAACAAATTACACATTTACACGTAGGAAGTTAATTATTTTTTATAAGTAATTTTTTCTAAACTGCTCTGATTAAAATGTAGATATGTTTGTGCGACGCGTTACATTTCTTGCCGATAAAACAACTGAAGAATGGGGATGCGCGAATTAATTTTTGAAATGTGTCTCTCAATCTGTGACTCTTTTACATTATCCGATATTTCATTAATTCTGAGCTTCCATGACGACGGAATTTATAATCAACAAATTTGCGCGAAGTGTGATTGAAATACACGCAATAATTTTACGAATTTATTTTGTATTTTTCTTTAACTTTTTATTTAATACGGTATTATGTTTCATCAGGTAATGTTATTATTTATTTATTTATTATTATTTTTGTTTATATATATTTATATAATATAGAAGAGAACAAACTTTATTGATGCTTTGCTACTCTATTCTTACTTTGTGATTTTAATAAAAACGAAACTTGATTCGAGATTTTATTAACAAAGTCCGCGAAACATTTCGCTCGAGACATTTTTGTCATTGTTGAATAAGCTTCTTCATTCAGAGAATAGAACAAACGAATCTCTTATCGCGCGTCTTATCTGTGTAATGTCACTTTGAGAGAGATAAAAACTCGGAAAACTATGCGCTAAAGTAACAGCGGATTAACAGAGATTATTGTCATAACGAAAAATAGCGTCACCGCCCCCTCATTCCTGTTATCAGTTTTTTTTTTTTTTTTTTTTTATTGATATTGAGTCGCATACCAATCTTCGTTTGAGACTTCGCCGATAGATTTCTTTCTTCACGTGCATACCTCCTCGCATATTCTCTACCTCACGCGCCATTGATAGTCATCGCAATCCAACGTAATTTACGAATTTATGTAACTCCATCGTCCACACGATGTGATTCCACATTCGTCGCCTTCATCACAATCCCGCTATGTGTCTATGAAAATCTCTGTGCTTGGGCAATTCCGTGGACCGAACGGTACAATCTCCATTGAAACCACACGAAGATTCCTTTAATCCACTCGAAGGATTTTCTAAAAAAAAAACTTTTTCGTTCCTCAATGTTTATGTGTGAAAAATCTGTCAAAATAAGTGCGAAAATGTAGACGCGAATAAATTAGAACAATTTTTTTTTTAGATATAATAGGAGTGATATTTGAGACAGCAGCACACAGGCTGCGAGTCTCAATTAGCGATAAAAGCATTGGCAGCGATGTAACATCGAAATATTTGAGAGAGAAAAAAACTTTGATTAGACACACGAGAGCGTCGAATTTACATTTGCCTTTTTCAAGAGAGAAGGTGGAGGAGGAAAACGGTCCGCCAAACTTCTATTTAAGATTTCTCGCGACCATCTTGGATTTTGACGACGTCAGAAGCGCGGAAAATCGCCAAAGTTTCGCGCACTTTTTTTGTGAAAGTAAAAACTTATATTTCTGTGTACACGCACGTGTGGAATCAACAATAGAGCGCACTCGCGTAAAACGTATCCCGGACTGTTTTTTTTTTTTTCTCGATTCAACTATATATCAGCGTGCGCGACACGCTGCAAAAGCTCGCGTTTGTTTGATGTGATATTTCTGCGTGGAGTCAAAAGAAAAATCGACATGTATATTTTGCAAATGTACTCTATCGCGTCTAACGTCTGTTTGTACACGGAAACAATTTTTGTTTATTTTTGAACAAGCGCGCAAAACTTTGGCGATTTTCCTGGATTCTCCTCGTTTCTGACGTTATAAAATTGAAAATGGCCGCGAGACATCGCCTCAAAGAGGTTGGTATATATGTTTAAAGAGCTTATATTGAAATAATATCTTAGAAGAGAGAAGCGCGCATATATATTTGTGTGTGTGTGTGTGTACGCGCGCGCGCGTGTGCGCTCGTGCAGCGGGAAGCGTGTATGCGCTACAAGGAATCGCGCTCTATATCGGTATGTGAGCGCCGCTTAAGTTCACGGAGTGTATTCCACCGCGCGAGTACGCATTTATACATCCTTACCATACCGCAGTGATTTTCAAACGGCGCTTGTGCGGTAGCTAGACGGTACCGTCGAATATATTTTAAAAGCGCATCTATATAGTTTCGAGAACAGCGCGTGTTCGCGCACAGGAGATTTTTGTCACAATTCGCGATCGCGACGAATTGAACCCATGGTCCCATGGTTGTCGTTGCGTCTAATCGGCAAAAAGTCCGATATGTTTTACAGTACGCCGCGAAATAAAAAAAAGTTTGAGAATCACTGCCATACCATACACCGCGCAACGCCGAGACTCGCCGGGACTCGCCGCGCCCGCATTCCATCCGCCAGGGCCGCGACGCGCGCTTTCTCGCCCCGCTGAAAAACGCGAGAAATCTGGCGATCAAGACTCTCGGACTTATAGCCTCCTCTTGCGGGTCGTCCCGCAGAAAGCGAGACACACCGAGACGAAGTCTCACGGTTCCAACTAAGCAACAACAGACTTGGACAGATGCGCCGCTCTTCTCAATGCACTTAAGCAAAATCCGTCGCATTGAAATTGTTATGATTTTTGCAATAGCGCGATTAGAATTTGCTTGTTGATATCCATCCGATATCACAGGTGAACAGGTTTGTAAGAAGTTATTATTGCGAAAAGTAATATATACACACACACACACACATGTGTCTATACGTTGCACAGTGGATATATACCGAGAGAATACGAACCGTGATACATAAAAACTACACCAATACTAAGGAAGACAATTCGCGCGTGTTGCTTGGCCAGCTGCCAGCACTCGTACAAACGAATTAAAACAAAAATATCTAAAGGCTAGAACTATTTGCGAAACCTATAAAAATGCTTGGAATTCTCAGCCAGCAACCGCGCACAGGATCAATGACAAGTGGAATGTCTCAGCTCACTGAAATAAATATATTTTAAATAAAAATATTTTAAAGCTACTAAAGGACCGATGGGGGGGTTTCTTTCACGTCGGTTTTTTTCGCACGTTATCATGCCTCTGTTTTCTCACGAAGTTGTGTGTGTGTGTGTGTGTGTGTGCGCGCGCGCGCGCGCGAAAAAAATCTCCATTTCTTAGCCACTCTATAAAATTTTACTGGCAAATGTATGGAACTGTCTATAGTGTTAACTTTGTCTCTTCCCTTTCCTTCTCCAGACACACACACACACACACACAATAGTGACAGCTTGTAATATATCTGTAATGTAGATCGCTCGTGTGTCAGTAACTTTGTGAGAACTTTCTGCTCCCCTCTTTTTGCGATGTCAAGTGATAAAAGCGCGAAGGGGAGATATTCACCTTATTTATCTATTTACCTTATATTAAAACTCTACTTGTAGCAGCTGTTGCACGTACACTAATGACGGCCAATAAATCGCGAGAAAGATTGCGGGGAATGCGAGAACACAGAGAAATGGTCGCTCGATAGGATGTGGTGACCGAGCGGCCATATTCTACTGTCCTCACTCTCCCTTCAAATCTTTCTGCGATTCATTGCTCGTTATTATATATCTTTTGATCTCTTCTTCCTCTCTCTCTCTCTCTCTCTCTCTCTCTCTCTCCCCTCTCCCCTTATTTTTTCCTCGGGGATTGCTAAATATAGCACCTTCTGATGCGTGTAAATTGTAACGTAAATCTGAGAGCTTCCTGGAAGGATTACATTGCCAAGTAAGTTTGAATTATGCCGTCGTCAGAGAACGGGCTCGGAACAAGTGCTCTCTCGTAGTGCTGCGCATTTAAACACACATGGTACATCTGTTTTTCCTCGAATAGCGAGTATAGCGCCAGTATCCGAATCACGTGTTTATTGTGAGCGTTTTTTTTTTTTTTTTTTTCAATTAACGGCGTCTATTGAAATTCGAATGCTTTTTGGATTAATCCTCGCGATTGTGTCACGGTTGTGTCCGAAGTCACACGCTGATGGTGGCGAACGCGCGTGCAGCGGAGTCTGTTCCCCTCCGACCGCAAAAGCAAGAGTTAAGTTTGCAATAAAGTGTATCTGCTATCTTTCGTAAATTGTTGCGTCCTTTACGATCCAAGTCGTCTCTTCTCTCTTCGCATCGTCGCCAATCGGGATACTATTGTATTTGCTTGTTTTTTTAAAAAAAACAAACGCTCGGTTCACATGACGCAAATTGTCACGTGTTCACGTCACGAGATTCTTTTTTTTTTTTTTGTTCTCCGTGTGTTCGTTTCACATCTGTTGTGATACTCGATACACACACACTTAGTTCAAAAGAGATTTATTACGTACGTAAAGTATTTGTGAAAGTCAAAGCACAACGCGTGTCTCTTGCGATGTAAAACACTTGCGGGTGCTCGGACGGGTGCAATACGTATATACATATTGCGCGCGATATATATGTATGTTTGTGTAGTGCACATATACATACGTGTGCTACTACATTAACGTGTGTGCGTGTCGGAGCCGTGGCACAAATTGCGCGCGAGGTAGCAGTTGTTCCCAAACTTGGAAATTCGATACATTCCTGCATCGTGACACGACCGCACGTCGAGGACGAAGCAAACGGAGGGAAGATACTTGCGGAGGCTGTGCGCGGAGAGAAGAGTGCCATTATTTTCTTTTCAGAATCTTTATGTCTCGACACACACATAAACGCCGTGGCAAAACCAGTTGTGTTCTCCGCGCAGTTACGCCCCGGCACATTACGCCGTTAAAAATATTTTAAACTATCATTAGTTGCAATTACGATTTACGTTTTATGCAGCCACGGGTTTTACCCGTAAACCTGTCACCGCGCGCACAATTGGTCGCTCTCGCCACATTGAAAAACTATACGAATACAATTTACTAACGCACACTCTTATTTGTGTAACGTATGATTTTCTACGCGCGAAATACTTTTTTGTTCTGTGCGCATGTGCGTGCTCAAGGTCATTTTTTAAAATTTATGTTAATTAAATCTTGGAGATTTATCGATTATCTCTCCGAGCAAAGCTGCAACTTGCATGTCTCGTTGCGAAAAAAAAACTCGATCAAATTTGAAAGTTTTACAAACAAAAAAGATCATTTTTTCGATAGATGTGCGCGCTCTCGCGCGTAAGATAACGCGCGTACAAGACGCTTCCAATCGCGTTCCAGATGAGCGCAATTCACAGTCTTAGACGATAATCTCTCGCACGTTTCTTTTTATTACCATCGGCGCGATCGACGCATCTTGTACCGTGACCGCTCACGTCTCTCGCTTCTTACGTTTTCTTTAATAAATCGCGATTGCGATCGCGAATGCAATTCGGTGTCAGGGATGGTCCGTCGTCCGGCAATAGCGCGAAAATGATGAGTCAAAATTCTTAAGTTTTTAGAATAAAATAAATTTTTCTAGAATAGAACAAAGGTGGATAAAAAAAAATCGAAGTTACACGTATGACAATTTAAAAATCTCGCGGTAGAAATTTTCAATTCAAAAAGAATTTCCAATCTGTCACAGTGTGTGTAGAAGCCATATCACATAGACGCCGCGCGACTATTTTTATCTCGAGAATGAGCGCGAGTATAGTAACATATTAGTCAAGCTTTTATTCAATTAATAATGACTGCTATGAGAGCTTGCAATAAGGAATCGAACTATTTCTCGATAATAATTTTGCGCGAAAGAAAATGCTCGGTTTCAAACGAATCGTTAATTAACCACGTAGTATATAGTATTTTTAGAGTTCACGTTTATATAATATTCATCATTGTAAAACAAACATAATCGTCGAGACACTCACAACGTCTGCCACATATTGGCGCGTTCGTCATGGATTCCTAATGTCGAAGACGCTCTCGTCATCGCGCAAATATCCAAAAGGAAGAAAGCGAATAAGGAAGAGAAAAAATAAGACAAAGAGAAGAAAAAGCTAGAATATAGTCGGGCGCCGTTTGTGTGTGTGTGTGTGAGAGAGAGAGAGAGAGAGAGAGAGAGATTTCTTAATACTTTTTTGCTTCTAAAAAAGAAGAAAAATAACGAACGGAACACAGACGAATAATGGCTGTGCGATTCTGGAATTCTGGTATACAGGAAGTGACGCTGGAGAGTCTCGTCGTTGCGCAATTTTTGTTTGCCAATCGAAGAAAGAAAGACGCTAAACATGCGAACGCTGATTGCCGATTGTATACGAAAACACTGATTATCATGTATTGAAAATAGAAATTTCGGTCAAAATTAATTGAATTTTTTTTTTTTTTTTTTTTTCTATCGAAATTCTAAACGATACACAATCTTTGATTTATCAATCAATCAATCTCCGTCGAAATAATCGCTCTCGTCGAGTTAACGCACAGTTCAAATAATTGGACTTCAATCTAATAAGTCATCACCACGGAGAAAATAAAATAAGAACGTGGCGTAATTGGATGTCGCAGTGTCACTAAAACAAAGCGATATGCGGATTCCGCTGCGAGTTGGAATGTTAAACAATGTGTGTCCCAAAGAGAATATCTGATTTCGATTTTTGCGGACGTAGTCCGAGAGAGCTTGTATAATATGCAGGATGTTCAATCGATCTTTCTCACAGTTTTTTTTTTTTTTACACTCGAAGAACTTGTGCAAAAACCTGTATAAAAAAATTAATTTAATTATTTATTAACTTAATAGTAAGATAATATAGATACGGTTCTCTGTTAATTGAAAAAGTTTGAGGATGCTCAATTAACGGAGTAGCGGGTGGGTCTTTTTTTTTTCTGGCAAAAGCCATAAATTATCTCGCCTACTTGAAAAAGTAAAATAAGGAATGCTGACGCATAAAGGAATGAAGAACAAAAGAGAAAGAATTAGGAGCGAACAGTACAGAGCGAAAAAAAAAGAATCAGTCGTAAACCTGTCAGCTTTTACGGCCGCTCTTTTTTCGCCGAAGTGGGGATGGAGACAATTTTATTAACGGGGATTAGATTTTGGTTTTAATTAATAGAGTACTACTGTAATTGTTTTTTTTTTTTTTTATTCGTAAAATCCTTGTACGAGGAGGAGTGTGTTTTATAACACTTTAAGAAACAATCACATTGGCGTAAAAATTTCCAACAGTGAACGAAATACTTGGCGATCACCCATCCAAATGCTACACATGCTCAAACGTCGCTTGGACTTTAGTGGTCAAACGGGAACTGATGTTTTCGACGTGGCAAGACCGCGCGCGCATTGACACTACTGTAATAAAATAATGTGTGCCGGAGTTATTTCTCTCTCTCTCTCTCTCTCTCTCTCTCTCTCTCTCTCTCTCTCGCACTTTTTATTTCCTCATTTGCTCTTCTCCCAACGCGCCCATATGCCATCTGATTGTCAGAAATTTAAAACCGTACATTTTTGCAAGTCTACCAAAGACGTTTTTTTTTTTTTCTTACTGAATGAAGACAGTGAGATTAAAAAGAACTTGATCGGTTCAGATTGAAAATCTCGTTTCTTCTGAACTCTGACTCGCGTATATACACATGATAGATACACAGAGTTCACTGTTGCGCGCGAACCTAGCGCAAGGCATTATCGTGAGTCTCTTGATAAATGCAACACACTATGTACGGAGGCCTTCAATAATTCGTTTCGCGAGAGGGGAAGGAGCTTCTACTGCTACGTACTCTACTACTGCCGCCGCGCGCGGTAGCTGATCAGCGGCGGCTCCTTCCCCTCTCGCCAAGCGAATTATTGAAGGCTGTGTCACACATACGCGTGTCCTACGCAATGACACGGCTGCGGTATGCCAAGGTTAAAAAAAAAAAAAAAAAAAGCGACTTACCGTCGATCATCGTTCGGAAACAACGAAAGTAGAGACACGTGCTAGTGCATAAATTTTTTCGTACATCTCAGCGAACAAACAAACGGACAACAAATAGGTATGTGTCCGCTGTTCGCACTCTCACGTATCACGTCTTATATGCACGTCGGTATGTGATAATCGCCTTTGAAGAGGAAATAGGAAGCTTGTCTCTCTATGCATATTGATCTTCGATTGTCTTTAGCAGTTTAGCGGACGACATAGCTCAAAGTTGTCGCTTTGAGTAATATTCTTCAGCCGTGGTTATTGTTTGATAAAAAGTTATAAATAATCCACACAAGTTTTGGTCATTACCGTTGTTACGAGCGCACAAAACGATAAATTTAAGTATTTTTTGTGTGGATTTTTGTCTTTCCCCAACCTAGCCAGGTTTATTCAACGTTGTTGATGATATTCTCATATAAATTTGATCAATAAAACTGGTTTTTTCACAAATAAATACGTTTATCGATAAAGATGAAGTGAGAATTGAAAATACGGATCTCAATATATTTTACACAAACACACACACACACACACAGACACACGTGTGTTTGCTATATATATTGTATATTTATTTTCTTGTGTATTTTTTTTTATTGTTGCAGATTTACCAAACCTCAGACGTTTGCGGATTGTATTGGGAATGAGCTCCCTCTCGGTTGGGAGGAGGCCTATGATAAACACGTGGGCGCCTACTACATCAATCATGTCAATCGTAAGTTTTTATTTTGCCTTTGCTATCTGATCGAGAAAGTGTACGAACAACAACTTGCGATACAAAAAATTGATCTTATTCATTACTTTACATCTATTTTTCTTTATCATAACACGCGTGTAGATCATGCATGCATTTTCTCGCTCAATTACCAGTGATTTAAATTAGGCCCGCAATTACGTTTTATTTTTTTTTTAACAAATTTAATTTAATTATAATGTTTTTAGTTTTTAATTAACACAAATATATATCTTATCACGTCGTCGAATTAATATTCACAGAAACAACTCAACTGGAAGATCCGAGGCAAGAATGGAGAGCCATTCAAGAGGCCATGCTTCGCGAATATCTGCAGACCGCACAAGATGTACTCGAGGTAAGCTCAAACACAATTAGTTATATTTATTTTTGTTTTCGTAACATATTGACGTGATAAAAAAAAAAAAAAAAAAAAACGGAATGGTTTGAATAAATTATTTTCAGAATTTATTTCTCGAATCTTTTTTGCGGAAACGTTTGAGCAAAAAATCGTGTGCTTCCGTCTTATATATAGAAAGCAGATCCATATGCTGAAAATTCTTCAGCGTCGAAAGAAATTCGCTGATTTCTTGGGGAGTTTCACGCGTAGATATGCGTTATATACTGTGCGTGCGTGCATGCGTGCGTACGCGCTTGCACACTCTTGCGCGCGAGCGTAACACGACTTGCATTCCGATGCAAATAGCCCTTTCCGCTGCCCGTCTTCGCCTTCTTCTCTCCCTTCTCTTCGTGTCTCTCTCTCTCTCTCTCTCTCTCTTCTCTCTCCCCTCTCCCCTCTCCTCCTAGTTTCTTTCTCCTTCTTACTCCTTTCGTCTCCTTTTCGGCATTGCGCAAGGTTCACCGTGCTCGTTGAACGACGGATAAGCTGCGATCAGTAGCATCTCATCTCGGTTTCGTATTGTGATGCACAATCACAAATGCGTTGCCATCGCCACGCTTAATCGAAATGTATTATATGTATCTGTACACACACACACACACACACATACGCGCGACTGTGTAGAATGTTCAAATTATTGTTAAAACTAATTACTCTTAAAGAGTTATCTTACATCATGACTGTGTTATATATCAAGAAAGTAATTCAAAGACTTAATTAGTTTTAAATATCACTTTTTTGTTTAAGTTTTTTTTAAATTTTCTTTTATGTGTGTGTGTGTGTGTGTTTGTGAATATTGAACACGTGTTCTTTTTCATCTTACACGTAAGAGTTCAATGTTTCGTTTACATATAAAAAATGAGATATTTCTTTAGAATAAAAGAGAAATAATGTAGATACGGGGGGGATAGAGGATACGCAAAAAGTGCGTACGCATCTTAAAAATTACAAGAGCGTACGATTAAAGTTTGTCTCGTAGTACGCGAGAATTTGTAAAAAGCCTTTACGTCTTTGTGTACATCCTGCGTTTTGAGTAAATTTCTAAGAGATTTCTCTTGATTGTGTACGGTTGATATTGGTCAGCTCAAAGTAAAACTCGATCGGTTATCCGATAATCCAAGAGGAGCCTATACATACACGATATAATTACGATTGTTCGTTTATGGCACACTGTCCGCGTAGCGTGGATCAGCTTTAGGTAGGATGATAACTTTAGCAAGCGGCTAGCAGACAAGCGGACGAAAGATGGCAAAGCGAACAGGCAGGCCGGCCAGGCGATCAAGCAGGCTTGCCACGAGAGATTGGAATGTCTCCCGCCTTTCGAATCTACCCTTCTCTGCTCCTCTTGCCGCCGGTGCTTGTGGCCGTAGACTCTCCCCCCCCTCTACTCTCTTTCCACCAACGAGCCTTGAGGCTCCTCAGGCCGGGGCAGTGGAAGGAATCGAAGGACTTGACGTACGTGTCAAGTGGAAGTGAGAAAGAGGACCTTAACGCGCTCTTTCGAACCTCAATGCCGGTTCTCCTTCATCTCTGTTCCTTTGAATCTCCTTATATATATCGTCCTTTCTTCATTCCTTCTGTCCCCCTCCTCTCTCTCTTTCTCTCTTTCTCTCTACGAATCGTCCACCCGGTTCTCCTCTTCTCCTCTCACCCGGCTATTTTCTCTATTTTTCCACTTCTCCGCTGTCTTTTTTTATTCCGGTCTCGCATAACTTGCGCCATGGGACCCTTTCGGCATAGTGGCTACCGGTGTTACGCTTGCGTAGGGCCCGCAGGCGGTTTTACGAAGTGACGCACGAAGATCCACGAGAACTCCCGAGGGTGTACGATCGCATCGGAACAAGCGCGAATACGCTCTCTACCATCCATTCCTTCTCCAAACTCACCGAGATGATACTCTTTTCGCGCCGCCGAGAATGCCGATTTTTTTTCCTCCCCCTCCTATCACACACTATCAAATAACATCTCGGACATCGATATTTTAATATATGACTTCTTCATTACGTTATCACACTTGTTATAAGAACAAGTTTTTTTTTACTTTCTCTTTTATCACGCGAAGTACAATCTTTGTTCTCCAAAAATAAAAGAGTCCTTTAGTTCTTCCGTTACTGAAAATTATAAAAGTTTTAAAACCAGAGAATTCAGTTTGAGAGACAGGTTTGGAGCTCTCGCGGCATGTTGCATTTTCATTTTTACCGAGAGAGAAACAGATAGTTGCTGCGTGAATCAAGAGAGAAGCGCGTATATAGAGATAAGACATTTATATTTACTTATAGATACATATATCGTATACAGGTGTGTACGTGTGTGTGTGTATATAAATTCTTCCGTCTCTACCAGGTGATACAGAAATAGGCCTACGCTTTTACTTGCAGACCAGGATATACGCGCATACTCTTCTTTTTTGTGAGCGACTATTTTTAGTAATCTAACGGAATTCCACGTTTCTCCCAATGTATCTTCACTCTTCTTTCTTTATTCTGTCTTCTCCTTCTCGGTTTTTTTTTCTTTCATTTTTTCTCCGTCGAATTCTCTTTGATGTGTGTTTCTAGTTTCCACATCTTTTTGATGACGGCACGTCATGAATTCTCTCTCCGCAATGCGATTATTCGAAACAATCCAAATGCGTGATATCGTTAAAAAAAGATGCGTACAGACTTTTGTTACGTATCTCCTTGTATCATATCAATCGTATCGTTGCAACGAGATACGATACAATGAGAGATTATACTGCAGCAAGACTTAATTTTCTTTCGGTATCATCATAACGTATCTACATCATCGTCCGCATGTATCATTGTGTATCTTTCAATTCGTCCCGCGAGCGATGAACACGCCCGTGCGGACGGTAGTGGCCGCGCGTACACATGTATTTATTATTGTAGTACGCAATTAAAACTGTGTAAGAAATTATCACACCGTGTTGATGGACGACGAAACTCAACGTGATTAGAGAGAAGTTTATAATAGATACGTCGATCTGTTGCGCGGCACCGATTTGATTCACCGGATTGTACAAGAATTTTACAAGAATGTAAATTCAGATTCAATTATCTCCGTATCACAGTCCACAGTGTGGATGGAATGCTGCCGATATACGTCATGTCTGTGTAGCGTCGGTGTCACATATTCTTAGCAACGATATGATAATATGATCAATATGATACGAGAATACACGTAACACACACACACACACACACAGAATAGTGCATGTATTCACTTTTGTGTTCGCATATTTTTATACAAATTTCAATTCGTGAATGTGATTCCTCACCGAGAGAGAGTCACGACTCAAACGACCTCTTGTCTCCCACGTCCCACATCTCCTCCGCGCGTGTCGCTAGGCAACGAGTTATTGGTGGTTATATGCTCCGATAATAGAATCACCACATTCCATTCATATCAGCAGCATTGGCTCGGCCACTGCAGACTCCCTCTCGTACACACACACACGCGCGTGCACAACTGCGTGCGCGCGCGGTGATATGAACATGATTCACGCGAGGTGCAAAACGCGCTTCGAGAAGGTGCGAGCGTGTCTTCTCTCTCGCGCGCGCGCGCGCGCGCGCGCGCGGTGATATGAACATGATTCACGCGAGGTGCAAAACGCGCTTCGAGAAGGTGCGAGCGTGTCTTCTCTCTCGCGCGCGCGCGCGCGCGCGCGTGTGTGTGTATGCGTGCGTTTATATTTAAACAGATATGCAAGAGTCGCACCAGTGCGCACGGATGTGTGCACACGCGGTGTGTCAATAAACGCAAAATGCAGCGAAAACTTTCCCCGATAGGAATTCGTTAAATCTTTTTTTTTTTTTTTTTTTTTTTTATCCGACCGATAAAGGCGCCAACGTGGATATATACACGGTGTGTTTCGCAACTGCATTGCGTTAATAAAACAACTTGCGTGTAATAATCGAGACAAATTAAACTTTGTGACCTCAACAATCGGATAACAAAATAATCTCAGCCGATATTTTATATCGGCAAGCAAGTGAATATAATTCCGTGACGTGATTTTTTTCTAGCATTAATTTAATTCTCGGCGTTCATCAGGATTAAATTAATACTGATCAGGTTTCATTTAAAAAAAAAATCAGAGAATCCTCCGCGGCTTCTCTAAGAATTCTTCGGGACAGCTATCTCTTAAGATTTTGCCAACGTTTAAACTTGTTATATCGCTGAACTTGTTATATACTGCTATTTTTTTAAATAATTATCAACACATATATATTACGTTGTTTGGAAAGTTCGTGGCTATCAACCCGATATATGTAAATGTGTGGTACAAAAGTTCTTCTCTTCGAGGAGATTAAACTGTTTTTTTGCTTTTGATCTACAGACGTATCTAGCGCTTGAACGCAAGAGTTGCGGCAAGAGTTGTTTTGAGAAACGGAGTTGCGACGCGCGCTGGAATGCGGCGCGACGCAAATGCTATCGCGCATCACCGTCATATCAGTCGTTATCTTTGACCGGGGCAGGTGCGAAAATAAGTTCTGCGACATGTATTAATTCAGCTAGTCCGCGCACTCGTCTCCTGTTTCTCTCGCTATCGAATCTACAAAACTTCTTTTAAAAACCTCTGTTGCAGAAAGATGGTTGAACTATATCTATTCGCAACTCTCTTCTAGATGTAGAATCAGAGAGAGAGAATTTTAATTATATAATTTCATTAAAATTCTAAAAAACGAGACGCCAATTCTTCACTCGAGTTTTTTTTTTTTTTAAACTTCTCCGATATATCGCCGACGAAATTAGAGATGCGCGTGCTCCTTGCGCGGTATCGCTCGGCAGTGGACGCACACTCGTACAACATTTGCGGAATGCGCGATACACTTTCACTCTGTAGTATTAATACAAAAGTAAAAGCTGCTTTCGGAGCAGCACGGATTTATCACGGCGAAACTGTGCAGCACATTGTGACTCAACAATGCGTTCGAGTCTCATTGAACATCGATCGA